CACTCATGTTCATAAGATCTGTCAGCTGTAATTAAGGTCTCAATACAAGTAAAAATACCGGAATACAAACAAATTAAGATAACAAATCCTAAGTAGTGATAAACGAGAGTCCTGAATTTCGCCGCTGTCACATACCAAATATGCTCAATTGTATGTTATAAAATTATCTGACGATGGTTAGTGGTGTAATTTCAAATGGACAACTCTTTCTATTAAGAAATTCAGTTTAAGTTAGTTTCGAATTTTTATTCACCAGTTTTAGAATCCATTATATTAAAGTTTAAACCGTTACAAAGTACTAATACTAACAGCTAATCCTTCAACACCAATGATCAGATAATTCAGTTTTGTTGATAAATATAAAGCCGAAATTATGAAATATAATAATGGTGACTTATTTTTAAGATGATGAGAGGCAATCGCTAGAAGAGCCTTAGATCTAAAGATTGTGGTGAATGAGATTATTCAGAAAAGTCAAATTTGTAATCTTATAGAAACTGATATCCCTCAAGATACTCGAACATGTATCACTAAATATCGCAGTCAAATTTATCAATAGTGAACTTAGACTGATATAGAGATCGATACGTGAGATATAAATTTCTATATCTGCCTAGCATATATTAAATAATTGATAACATATATTTTAGATTTTATTATTGATCATATTCTACTGATAATGTTGCAATATGATTACTAGCCCAATGATCTCTATGTTTCGTCAGCTATAATTAACTTGTGATAAAAATAATGATCTAAATGGATAACATCTTCAAAAAAAATTAACCAATTAATTCATATTTATCCAACTATATTTTGACTGAGCAATAAAGAAAACCAAATTGATTTGTATGTAAATATATACAAAATAACTTTGTCTAATTTAAACAGTTGCATAAAGAACTAAATGTAGTTATAACTCATATATGATTAGATTGGTTATGCTAATATTATCATAATATTGATCTGTACACAGAAGAACAGTTTTGACTATTTATTGATTTTTTTTCACAATATTAATTGAATGAATTACTTAGTGTAAACCACTAATTATTCTATTACAATTAAGTTAAATTAATTATTTACTTATCGAATTCATTCAATTAACTAACTGATTTCAATCATATAAAGAAAAGAAATTTTTTTCTCAAGTTTAAATAAATATATGGGTCAAATGCAAAGAAATACATATTTGAAGGAAGAAATAGCGACAAGGTTATTTAAGGAACGGGGTATGAAAAAATCAATCAACTAAGCTAGTACTATTATAGTAGAATAAACCAGAATAGTCCTGAATTACTTATAAGAGAAGAGTAAAGTTCACTAAATTTAAATGATGAACAGAACAGGATACCGATTGATAAAGTAGATTTAAAAGAAAAGACTACAATGTCTGTCTATGAGATAAACAAAAAATTATTTACTGGTATAGGGCTTGTGGAGACTATTAAGTTTTTGATTGAGATCATCACCTTCGGAAACCTGGAAGCACTGGACGGCCGTTTCGTCCTATACTAGTAATCAACATGTGCTAACTAGTGACCAGCTTCGTGAGGGAATTCTCGGAGTTCTAGTGAGAAGCCGTGATCAGTGGAGCTAATCCATGTAGGGTAGAGACAGGTATCTACCTCAGTACAATGGAAGTTGGTCGCGCAATTTCGTGGATTGGTTGATGTTAGACACTATCACCATTGGATGCCGGCTCAGTGGTCCAGTTGGTTAAGCGTTCGCGCGCGAGACCGAAGGCCCTGGGTTGAATCCCGCGAGCGGGACCGTGGATGCGCACTGCTGAGGAGTCCCATAATAGGACGATTTGGCCGTCCAGTGCTTCCAGGTTTCCAAAGGTGGTGGTCAAACATCAATCGGTTCATGATCTCAATCAAAAAAATTAATTACCGACATTTTACATACTTTGATATTTAAGACTTAGGAAGCACACAAATTTCCAATCAATCATGATAATGAATATGCAAATATTACAAATAAATGTTAAAACTATCAACGAGAGTAAATAATATACACATGTCCCGTTAGATAAGACAATGTTTTGATCGGCCTAATCACCATAAACTTAGTAGGTGTGGAACATGGAACGATGGAAAAGGACTGTTTACAGCTTTAGAGAGAGAAGTGCCTGAAAAGAAAAATAGGTTAAAGTTGGTCTTAGTGACCTGAGAACGTGACCGCAATGCAGAAGGGACAACTGCTTGAGGGCGGTCACACACATTTTTGTGGGTAATTTTCGTGTTACCTCCGTACTTGGTGAGACCTTACCGCTGGAGATGGATATCCACGTGACAAGGTGAATAGTGCATTTTTAGGGTTCACCTTTCCTAAACTAACCCTTTCTTTGTGGGAAGGCAGTATCGCTATTATGTTGGTTATCTGAGCGAGACCTTACTGCCGTCACACCTCAATAGAAACAATAGTACGACTTCACCTGCGGATCTTGGGTTTGCTGCCTTCAGTCTTAACGTTCTTCGACGGATCTGCATGGCATGGCAAAGTCCGATTGGTTCATCACGATAGGCAAATTCGACCACTCCGTCGAATTTACCGCCCTATGTTCGAAGTTGACATACTTCGCGACAGAATAGATTTCAAATAAATAAAAATGTTCTTAGGTAGATGGAAATCGGATAAGAGGAGTTCAGTTTTGGATTTAATATCTGAGATATGAATAAGCTTGTGTAGAAACTTTGACTAAGGTTTTTCAATAAAGCTTCTCAGTTGTCCTTGATATTTCCAAATAGCTGGTTGTGCTCGTATGCATGAAGCCTGTAAATCAAGATCGGACTGTGGTGTGGATTACTTATATTCATATAAGTAGTATATAACGATGGTCAGGCATAGGATGTATTTCAGTAGAAGATCGAGAAGGAAAGAACGGAAACGGAACGCAATTGGTATGAAAACGCATGAACAGTGAAATATGAAACGATGGATTGATGTTTGCAACAGAAACAGTCAAGTTTGAGATGATGGGTCGATATTTTGCGAATTAACGATTTACATGGTTCTCAGATTTTAGTGAGATGCTCTGTAATTTCGTGTTCAAATACACTCGATTGTCCCCACTGGTATTACTGTTCACTACAGAACAACCGCTAAATACAACAATCAATACCAACAGTCAACTAATGTACAAGCTATTTCATTGTTGCTTCCTGGTTAACCTTTAGTTTCTATCGGCTTAATTATACAGCATTCAGTAACGTTTCGCAAGTGGGCCTCAATATCCTACATAACCCAATCGCTTGACGATTACGTTCTTTTGGTTTGGTCAAAGTATCTGTAAACTGCAATTTTTCTTGTGTTATGACGGGTAATAAGTAAATTTGGTCATCAGGTCTTAATATCTAAGGTCAATGAATGACGTACGAAGTAGGAATCTTACAATCATTTACATTTTGAATGAATTGTATTCATGTTTAATTTGTATTAAATATTTGGTAAATAATTATGTGATTTTAGTACCCTGACACGAAATAACTCGTTTTTATTTTATTCTGTCTACTGATATTCGTCTATTGAGGACGAGGGGATTTTATGAATAATTTTCTCTTTAAAAGCACTCACCACTCGGTCACATATATATGAACTAAAGGAATAGATTAAATTCGTGACGATTCATAGAGTAGTTCGTCCGTTATAACATTTTGCATTTGCCATTTGTCAATATCAATAAGAACTAGAATTCTTTAACAAATTATTATTCCTGCCTAGATTTCTGAGAGAAATTTGTAATCGTTTCAAATATTTTACAATTGCGAACAGGAATATCTAGGTGTATTCACTAAACTATATACACTGTTAACACATAACTTCATAAACTATCCAGTAATCTCCATAAATACTCAACAATTCGAATCATAATTTTATATTCGCCAAAAAATAGTAGAAAAACTGCAGGTCGATGCTAAGCTCTGTAAATCCCTAGAAAATATTCAACATTTTACACCATTTAAAACTTATTTGTTAAATATTAATGAAACATTTGTGATGTATGCTACTTAAGTTGACGTAAGTAGTACATAACATCAATCAGGAGTGGAATGCCTGGCAGCAGAATGTTGGGAAGATCGAATCTAAGAGAACGGATATAGGCAGTAATTGTTATACCAATGGAGGAAAAATGAAGTTTGAGATAATCGATGGAAGATTTGCAAATGAAGTATTGAACATATGGTTTTTCACATTTGATGAAAGACTTCTGTAATTTTGTATTGAAACGCATTGATTGTACCTACCTGTTTCCCTTCGCAACACATTTATAAGATTCTTTACAGTAATAGTATTCTCCATGTACTTTAATCTAAGCGGACGTGGTGTGTCTTCAGTCACCAAATAACTAAATTTAACTTTAAAATTTAATACATGCATTATTGTTACTTAATTTCGTAAATAAACATACTAATTTCAATAGGCTCTAGACTGAAATTACTTTTCAAGAATGATACTGAGACATTCGCATAAAGAATATTAACTTTGGAAAGATATCCACAAATACTCACTATTCAGTTCGTTGAAAAAAAATAAACAAATAAGTTTTATAACCCTAATTTAGTTTTAGACACGATGCTTCTTAGTCTAGCCATATTCTTTTATAACACAATACTCAACTGAATTTACGCATAATAAGTGGTTACCTTAAAAAACTAAAGACAGGAGTTCCAGTGCACTGGAATCAAACTTACTCTGATATACATATTTTTAACATTTCAAACTTGTGAGTATAAAAGTACCCTTTAATCAACTAATTCTTATTGATTTTTTGGAAAAATATATTATTCTCAATACACTCATTATTTATATATTGTTTTACATATGTTTGAGTAGTCCTATCGAATTTATCGACTCATAAAAGAGCGAGATTACAATTAAAGCTATGTAATCAATCAATGAAACTGAACTGTATATACAAACACACACACACACAGACACTCTGATCTGATCCACTATGATGCTATAGCATAAGATGAGATAAAGAAAACATTTATGGACGATTATTATCATTTTCTTTATTAAAATAATGATAAAGATATTGATAACGACAATGTTAGAAGACGAAGCAGTCGAATAATTGTTTGGAACTAAACAAATGTATCGTGAAAGTATATTGATATTCAGATGAATAATAAACTAACGATGAGAGGTGGGAGAAGAAAATCCAAGAAAACAAAAGATATATATTTTACTGATAAGTAGGAATGATAACAATTTTTTAAATGTAAAACTGTTATTTTACTAAACTGGAAAACTAATTTTTTTTTGTTTCTCAGCTTTGTTTTTCCTGCAAACCAGCAATAGAAATAATATCACCACTAACTAAATAACAACAACGAGTACATCGTCGAAACTAAACTATATACAAATCCCATGTGGATGTAAGCACAAAAGAATGTTTTTTATGACAGGCGCTTGTATTGCACTATTTAAATAAACACACAGAAAAATTTTCTCTTCTCTTTGTTCTTTGTATTACAAATGATGATGTATGACATCATTGTGACAAAAATCATGAGAAAAAACTGGACAAAATCTGATAATAATGGTAATACTTCGTGATCATATGAGAAAAACAAATAAAAATGGGGAGACAAATAGATAAGAAGGACTTAGTTCAAGGAAAGAGAGCGGGTAACAATATCACCAATGCCCACAACCAGTATTACCATCATCGATGAACAATAATAAATGAAAACAAGGATAGTAATGTATAAATAATGCTTGATCTCCTATCTATGAAACAAAATCATCTACATCACAGATTTACATAGATTGTCAGTCAGAAGATGAGGTACCTGGCAGTGTATAGATGAATAAAAAGATAGGACAAAAAGATGTATTATGATAACTCATCAACAAAAGTATTTGCTTTCAGGATGGAATGACTTCAGAGAGTGATACAATTAGTTAACTGTATGATAAATAGAAAAATTCACAGTTGGATAAAGAAGAAATACAAGAACGTATAGATAATGTTACTTGAAATGAGGTAAAACAAAAGAAATGTTAAAAATTCATATTGACTGACGAATTGTTAAAATTTTTGTCAAATTCAGCCATAGCGTCATTTAATTCAACGAATACTAGACGTGCGATATTCTCGTGTGACGTACTCATCCACTATATAAAGAATAATAAATACATAAAATAAGAGTATGATTTAGATTCTATGCTTTAATTAACTTAAGAATAACTTTTCTCAAAACGTACAGAATTTGATGTTATCTAACAATAATAATCTTGTTTCGTCATGTAGAAATAAAAGCAATTCAAATTTACCTTATCAGGATGAACTACACGAGCAGCTTTCCGATACTGACGTTTAACTTGTTCACGCGTTATTAGATCAGCCATACCAACATGATTCCATTGTACTCCATCCCATAATATGGCCGGTAGTGAACATAATAATGCTCGAAGATTTCGATCTTTACCCTCAGCCCAATCACAGACCTAATAAAAAACAGAATTATATTACAAAAAGAACTATACTGTTAAAAACAAGTATAACACGATTATTAAGAGTTCTATGTAATTAGCTAATTATAGAGATGGAAAGATGTTCATCTGACTATCAAAAGACGAATACACTGAGCAATAGCTAACTCTTTATTGATATAAGAATATTTAACACACTTTTAAAAATACAGAGTATGAGTAAGTTGCAAGCATCTAAACATTAGTGTTACACGTATCATTGAGAATTTTAGGAATCCCTTTCATTCTGATAGCTATCAATCGTATATATCCAATGTCTAATAAATTTAAAACACAAATATGAACAAAAAAAACCGTATGTTGAAAAGGTGACTTTATAGTTAAAACGCTCGACTCAACCATGGAACTACATATTTGATCCCTGCTCTATATCGACTAAAGGAGTTAGAGAGTATCACTAGCCTTTAAGTAAAAAACGTTTGATTAAGTATAGAAGATATGGAAAGTTAATTAATTAATTAATAAGTCCCACAGTTGTAAGTTACGTAAACCGATGGTACTGAGCTGCAATAAATAATCAATTAATTGAGAAAATATTCTATAAAAAAACTAGTTAAACTTCCTTACAAAGATGCTGTAAGAGAAAAAAAATAACTTGGATAGTTATTTTTCAATGAATTAGCTAGCATATTTTTAAGGAGTGCTTGCTGAAACAATTGTTCCAATGATACTTTTACAGACCTAACTGTAAGTTATTTTTTGATTCATTAATCGTTGCAGAATATATATGGATTGTAGTTAGCACCGGAATTCAGTATATAAGTTTTTCTTATTTCTGGATCGCAGTTTTGATGTTCACAACGAGGCCCAAGCCCAGAGAAGCTCAGAGAACAAAACTCCAAAATCATACACCTGAGCTACAAATCTTCTCCACCATCTCGATGTTACAATTTGTTTACCGTTCACAAATTACAGGTCAATTAACTGTTAACTTTATCTTTGTATCAAGAAATAGTCTAGTTATGCACTCCTTGAGAATTTTAAATCCTAGCGCAATATGTATAATTTCGTGAGTAACGAATCTGAATAACAAATTTTTAGAAGGCATTCATCGAATCTTTAGTGTTTTGGTTAGAGAATTACGTGAACTACCAGTTGTAGCACAAGGAATAGTCATTAAGTTAAGAGACTTATTGTTAATGAAGTAGGCGAAAACACAAAAGTTAGGGTTAATTTATTTATTAATGTTAGCTATTTGATTACCTGTCAGTTGGTGTCTATGAGTCAATTATTTGAGCCATTAAGTATTCAATTACTAATATATATTATTCAAAATTTTTCAAGGTGTAAATTAGTATTCAATGATGATTCATACTTTTGTGTGAGATATGATGGGATAAACTATCGAAATTAGTGTAATGGATCTCAAATTTACAACCCATACAACTGAAATTTAAGTGTATTAACTATTAAGCTACCACGATCAGTCTTCAATAATTATTATTTACTAGCTTTATAGTGACCAGAGATTGTGTTTGAAGATTTGACAGAGGGGAACTTAACAGTTACTGTAGTATGGATAAAGCGGCAGTTTTCAATCTTAAAAAAATTGTCAAATTTAAACAAAATTGAAAAATTCTCATTAAAAAAAGTTACTTTCAATTGTTCTGGATCGACCGTTTTAGCCATCTTTTCACGACGAATCTGATTTACTGTTTTCGGTTGTTTATTATCATCTGTGTTGTTTGTTCGAGAAGAACCAAATCCACCGAGTAAATCAGAAAATGCATCTTTATTAACATGAGGTCTAGCACCAGTTCCTCCACTAGTTGGTATTGATGTAGATCCAGAAGTAGTAGTATTAGGAAAATTGGAGTAGGAAGAATACGATTGACTAGATTTCTCATAACCATGGAATAAATTATCAGGACTTTCCTTATGATTTGAAGAGTTGTTCATAAACTTTGAGTCGATACTAGCTAGAAATATGAAAACGATTTTTAAAAAAACAAGTATGAATGGACTTGATCGACGGAATTTGATCAGCACAAAGGATTAGAGAAGCACCCAGTTGGCCAATACTTAGTGATTATTCAGTATAAATATATCGATCCTACAGGAAGTCAGTCTCAGCTTATATGGATCCACAATAATACAACAAACAGTGAGATTTGGCTGCTCAAATTTAAAGGTGTCATTACCAAGGTTTGATTTGATAATTTCGAATAAATTGAGCATTGGGTTGATTGTTATAAATAAAAATAAATAAAATAAATAAATAAGTTTCGAGCCGACTATCTCCAACCAAATGAATTCAATGTATTTTCAAAATGAACTAATGTTGATTTATTGGAAGAGTCGTTTAGAAACAAATCGTAGAGCTATACAGTTGAAATTCATAGTACAATCAAAATCTATAATTGTTGTGTATTGATATAATTGACATCGCGTAGAAAAACATTTACACTATAATTTGCTCAAACGAATGTTATTCAAAATATAGTTACACTAATTTTCTAATCGTAATCTTTACAAGAGCGAGAACTTAGACCGACACTTTACTATACAGTTTATTTTAATCAATTCATTTAAGACTGTATACGTAAACAACCGAAAATCAAGTGACAACTGAGTCCTCTACATTTTGTAAGTTTTTATGGAATTAAGCACGACAATGATAATAACCTTATGCTGTTTTGTCACTTACGTCAACATTAAAAGGAATAGACATACGAACATGACAAATTACTGAATCCATGAATTAAGGATATCACTCAACATGAATCACGTTCATTCTATTAATGTTTCAGATTTAATTTCATTCACAGAAAGATGTTCTGGAGATTGTTGAAATCTGAAAGCATTGGACGGTCGTCTTGTCCTAGTAGGGGAATTCACAGTAGTGCGCGCCCATCCACCGAATATAATAAAAATGGTGGCACAATGTCATGGATTGATTGAAACCATCGTGTCGGCTCAATGGTCTAGAGATTAAACGTTTGCGCGCTAGACCCAAGGACCTGGGATTGATTCACACATACAGGGTCTTAGATGCGCACTGTTGAGGAGCCATATAATAAGACGAAACGGCCGTTCAGTGCTTCCAGGTTTTCAATGGTGGTCTAACCGAAATCAGTTCATGATTTCGATACACTTCATTCATCTGGTGTTTTAACTTAGCATCATAAAATGAATCAAATTTACTGTTCTTTACGCGTAGTAATGAAACGCAAGATGAATTATCTCATCACATTTGGAAAAAGCTCACATTTAAAATTATGTGCTGGACTGGGACCAGCAGAAAAACCACCCAAGTTTGTGGATGATCTATTTGATGATGGTGGGGTATATGTATTATCACTATTTGTAACATTTGTACTCGAAGAAGTTTGATTATTTAATCGATCTCGAAGTACATCAGCAAAATCTGCAAATGGATCTAGGCGATCATGATTCTTGACGCCAGTAGTAGTAGTTGCTGTGTTAGTAGTCTTGTCTGGGATATTTTCAACGTTAGGAGACAAATTTGTAAAAGAAGCTGATGCGAAAAGCGGATTTAAATTATTAGCACTGGCGCTGGCACTTAAATGACCACCTTGTTGTCCAAAGTAATCTTTGCTAGTAGTAGTATTGGTATTAGTAGTTGGAGGAGGAGAATAGTTAGTAGAGGTAGTTTTATCAGGAAGGATGGTAGTAGTGGTAGTAGTCGAGTTGTTTTCACTTGATATATAAGAATTTGGTACTGAAAAGAAATCAGATAATTCTGATGTGGCTATACCAAATGGATCAAAAGGATTATTGGATAAGCCAATGTTGTTTGTAGTAGTACTTTGGCTAGTGGTGATGATAGTAGTGGTCTTTGTGCTTTCTGATGACGTGATACCAAATAAATTCTCCCAACCGAGATCAGTTTTTGAATTGACTTCAACAGATGAGTTGAAATTAAATAAATCATCAACAAATGATTTTTGATCAGTTTGTTTCAAATCATCTGAATTACTATGCTGACTAGTTGTTGATGAAGTAATAATTTCATCTAGTGAATTTTTATTATAAATTACGAAAGGATTCTGTGCTACATCAATTAAAATATGATCATCAGTATTAGAAGTAGTAGTGGGAGAAGTAGTAGCATTGTCAGTGTTTGGAAATGAAGATTCCACATGGAATCCAAGCAGGTCATCAGAACTTGCCTCCTGTAAAGGAATAAACAGGAATATAAGCATACAGATTTGTAGCAGACAAACAACAGTGTTTACCACATTTATATTAGGCTAGCTAATACAATACGTTAATGAGACTTGAATGTGAAAAACACATAAACAAATCAATGCAATTTCACGATGTTATTAACTGTTAAACTCAGTACTCCATAAGGAATATGGAAACTTTTTACTTGGTAAATAGATGGTTGTTTGAACAGTGTATTGGCAATTTATACAAAGATAATATCGAAGGAAACATTACTACTCACATTGTTGTTTTTCGGGGATGAACCAAAGTATTGTAACAAATTATTCTTCAGTCCCTAAGCACATTCATTAATATATGAAATCCTATATATATAAATCCTAACGAAAAATTGATTGTATTCAACACAGAAAATCAATAATATAAGACAAATGACTCAAAACAATATAGAGGAAACAGTTGTTTACTTTTAAAAGTCTAAATAAGTTATTGTTATTAACATTATTGATATTTATCCTAATAGGATTATATATATAAAAAAGATTTGAAAAAACTTCAATTTGAATTTTAAATAACTATCTTGTTTCTAAGCGTAAGTTCCCATGACATCACAAGAGATCGAACAAAGGCCTTAGATCTTGAGGTGGTGATGCAAATTTATCAATGAGTCATAATCCAACAGTCCAATTTTTTAACTTTAATCAATTCACAAGGCGGCGCGATTCTCATTCAACAACATCGGTGAGTTACGGTTTCGCCCCAAACATATCTGACTTCACAGACCCCAGGTCTCCACTAGAACGTCGGAAAATTCCATAGTGAATTTATTCACTATGCCGAACCAGTATGATGATGAATACCTCAATTAGAATAATTTAGTTTTCTCCTGAGTCATTCAATTGATTTCAGTTTTTGATCAAAATTACAGTCAAAGTAGGAAGGAAAAATTGGAAAATAAATTAATTAAAACAAAAATAAAAAAAACTAGATTACTCACCATATTATTATCTTGATTCTTGGACGACGAAAAAAAATCCCCACAGAATTTATCACTTAATAAATTGTAGTTAATCTGTTTTGAATGATCAGAAGAAGTTGATGAATAAGTATAATTATGATTCTTTGGCATGTCATTATCACTGATTAAGTCTGAGACTAAAATATCATTAATTTCTGTATTTTGTTTTAAATTAACCGTACTACCACCGATGGTATGAGTAGTAGTAAACAAATTTGTAGTGGACTGGTTTGTTGAATTACATGATTCATCGCTATTAATATTAGTGGTTATACAATCTTTTTCTGATGGATTATTTGATTGATTAGGTTCTAAACTATTTTTTTCATACATTCGAGTTGATGGTTTATGATTAAAACGGCCTAGATCCATCAGTTGTTTTCGGAAGATGAAATAAGAAGAATGTCAAAATAAAAACACGATTTAAACAAAAAAAGTAACCATCATCATCTTTTATGAATAAACCAATAATAAATGGCTGAGGTTTATCGCAACGCTTTTAATGTTCACTAATTAAGTTATTTCATCAGAAATTACGGCAATATTCCCATTCATTTTGTAAATAAATGTAGCAGATTATAGTACAATTCTCATTTAAGATTCCATTTTAAGAGTCTCACGTTATTCTCGTCCGTCTGTCATCGAAATATCGGGTGAAGTGTCGTTCAAGATCAATATCAAGACTTGAAGCAACATCTTTGATGAAAAGTACACAGAACCCGGTTACTAAATGAATGCAGAAATAATAACTGAAAATGCTAGGTATGATACAATTAGTGAATGTCGAAAGCATTGTGGATAACCTCAACCATGAAACGGAAGACATCTCTGAAATAAAAAGAAATTATAGAGGAAAACACATTAAAAATACTTGACATATTACTGAATTACGATATAGTTTCACTTTCTAAAAATTAAACCAATTAACAAGTGAATTTTTTCAACACAATAAATAATCTCAGTAACTGAATAAACAAACTCATTTGTGTTTTCTAATTTTCAAGGTAAATGAAATTATTCAGAGGAATAATCACCGAGAAAAGTTACATACTGAAGATAAGTTGGCTAGTCAAAAGTATATTTTGATACTTTATGAATTGAATTATACTGCTTAGCTAACCAAATCAAAACTTGGTATATATTGGATATAAGCAATACATTTACGTTTTGAATTATTACAATTATCATTATACCTGTCATGGTTATTTAACAAGGAGAGCTAATTTTAATAGGAAATTATTTACATAGCTGATGCTCACAATATGAATATACGATTGAATTCATTTTGCTCAAGAACAGTATCAATGATCATCATTTTATAAATAATGCAATACAAACACAGTGAAAATTCGTCAAATATTTATGCATAAAACCATTCTATGTATTCTTATTTACCGTAATCAGATAAGATATTTTTCAGTTCATCATGATTTGATACACAGAGTTTAGGACTAAGTAGATCATTTGATGGCAAAGTTTCCCACGGATAAACAAGATTGTCACTTTGTCTTGGTCTTTCAGTTGGTGAAACCATAAATTCCAATGTAACATGAAAACTTTCAGCATAACGACTAGTGAAACCGGCAAAGCTGCTACTATTATCTAGATGATCTAAATCGGATCTGTTGAAGAGAAATTGAGAAAAAACAAAAAGTAATATGTAATGATGCATAAGGGCAAATGTTTTTGCGAATGAAAAATCAATACGTAGTGGTATATTAATCCAAAACTTGAAGAAAGGCATTTATTTATTACTTTCTGTCACAAAGTGATCTGGAGATGAGAAATCTATGGAAACCAAGGGTAGTATACCTGTCGTCAGCAGTTTTCAATAGGCCGTCGATGAGAGTAAAGATAAAGTGGACATTATGAAAGCGATGATGAAGTACTTAATGTCAGAAATAAATGAAAACGGATAATCAATCGGTAACAATAGCTTAAAGATAAAAGTGCAGATATTTGCTAACTATAGAAATTCACCTGTTCAAGAATTCAGTGCAAAAACGCACAAAGCGATTCACTTTGTGGAAGATGTGTCAAATATGATTAGCATTATCTACGTGAAATTTTTGAATGATATTAGATCGTTTTTTACAAACAGCTATAATGACAGCTTACATCGGGTCGTTCCTTTTCATTTTATTAAATTTAATGTACATACGTAAAGTCAACAAAAGTGCTACCGAATCATTTTCCATCCAATTAGACCGATGTGTTATAAAGAAAACCTAATGTAAAGTGAGGTAAGAATGATTACGGATGAATATTTATGTAGTATTTCGCATTGTTCAAATAATATCCGTATGCAATAGAAGACTAGAAATACAAACAAAACAAAACAGGAATTTTCATTTCTGAATTCGCTATATATAAATGGCATAATGAATTTAATGACAGTAAAAAACAAATGGATATCAAAATATATGTTAAGTAGTGCATACTTGGAAACTGGCGACTTTTTATCTCAATAGTACATAAATTATCTGTCTATGAGAGATATTTTCTACATTTAGACACAAAACGTTAGACATGTTAGTTTCAAATCACAATAATTGTACGACAAACTACAAATGGTAATAATAATATGTGGTTATTATTTCAACGTCTACCTATCCTAGTTCAACCTTGTTACTATGTTGAACTACTGATTAGAACTCTTGTTATTCTTATTATTACAACTAGTACACATCTCTTCTTACTATGAATTAGTACTTTTTACCAATTATGTGTAGTTATGCGATGTACTTCATTGTAATCATTGACTCATAAATGTCCTTGATTAGTTTTATTTTTTTTATTAGTTTAAACAGCGATTAAAGAGGTTATGTGATCAGTCACAAGGTCAGTTCATATTGTACAGACAATTCATATTATGCCTGAGACACAAGGAAGTATGAATCAATAATCTAAGGTACATGCTATTAGACTTGAATACAATTGAAATTATATTGCCAATAAATGTAATAGTTTGTACAAGAGATTTAGCAGATATACATTGTTTCTCATAAAGATTACCATCTTAACAATTTAATATTATTACGTAGAAAAACCCACATTTACACATTTGATGTTAAACACGTAGAGATTGAAAAAAAAATCAATTTCTCAAAAATCAAAAAGAAAAACCACTTCCTAAAATCTATATGTAAAATGACTTACTTAAAATAAATTAGTTCAGTTAAATTATGTTCTACAAATCCAGTGTGTAATTGAAACTGAGCGATCTTCACTGAACTGATCTATAACAAAAGAATAATATGAGAGGAGCAACACATATCCACATATGTCATTGACAACATACACTATTTTCACCGAAAAAATGAAGATGCAAGTTTATGATACAAAAATAATAAGTCGGAATTAATATAAGTTTAGTAAAAGTTCAGCATAGAGACGAACCTGAATGGCTCCTAAAATGACTATGTAAATTAAAGTCAATAGACAGTCAATCAGCGGAGATTCTGTGTAAGTATTTTACAAAAGAACTTGTGAGACTTGTTAGTGGTTTTATAAAGTTCAGTAATTTTCTATGGTTTGTTATCACTCTTTTTGTAGAAGTACCACTACATAAAGCAGCATAAATCTGAAAGGGAAATTATTCACGTTAACAGTTAATTTTTGGATTTTTCTCATAACCTTAAAAAGTTTCAGAATGTAAGTTTATCATTGACTACAAAATCATTATTGATCAATTTGTTCGAGTTAAAGAGATGAAATGGTAAGTCACCCATGACTGTCACCATAATGACATGAACAATTCATGCGAGAAAATCCTCATTTATTTCAACGTTCCTATTATACTTGCCTATCAATTATAATTCAGTTAATCATTAATAAAATAATCTCTTTGCAAAGTAACCATAATCAAAGTAAATGACAAAAAGTGATTCATTTTCCTTAAAATTGACAGATAATACATTGAGCAGTTAATAAGTTGAACATTATCATTTTTACTTTACGAAAAGAAGAACTTTCCCAACCAAATTTAAGCATTCTAAACACTAGACGGAAGGTATTTCTATTGCATATATTTTTTGTGATGGAGGATCAAATCTATTAAAATTTTAATTTTGGCACAAAACTCGGAGAAAATTTCCTCTACTCTGATTGTTTCCTTTACTCATACTACGCTTTAACTATAATTATCGAATAACAAATTATTTATTTAAAAGGAAATCACAAAAAGAAACTAATAATTTACATAATAAATAATAAATAAAATCAATATATTAGGCAAAGTAGACCGAATTGATAATGATTGGTTCATAAGATAAAAATAACTGTCATTTTAATGAACTTAGATTGATAGTTGAACGAGTGCATACACACATGTGAAACATATTGAAGTAATTAATCTTATGTAACAATGTAATCTTATATTCTGATATGGCTTTTCATAAAATGAAGCTGATTAGTTCACAAGGTTAAAGATCTCAGTTATTCAGTTAAACAAAATTACCTTATATAACCATGAGATTGAGATATAATAAAAATACTAGATGTTTCGATTCAGTCAATGATGAAATGTCATGAACACAAATATCATGAATAATTTGGAATTTTAAGTAGGAACTTATACATATAAAAAACAGAATTTGTAATTTATGAACTTATTTGGCATAAATGTGCAGAAAAAACAAGTCGGTACACTTTACTCAATCAATTATTAGTTAACAGTAAGTAAACTAACAAAATGTAATAATGATTAAAACAAAAAAAAAGATTTTATTACAGAACCGAATATATTCAATTATATGTTCAATCAGTCTAGTGTTACTATCATCAGTTTGATAACGGATAGTGTTGATCAAAACAAGAATGAAGGGATATATTATGAGTTGATGAGAAGTTAGGATACCAGTTAAGTCACTGAAGTCAGCACAACTATTCTGTCCCCAGAAACTGGAAGTACTTTAGGTAGTACAGTTTCAGAAGGCTAACAGTAATCAGAACGTACTTACACATTCTATCTATAGTTTACGGCAGTTCTAAATTGGCACTCTCAGCGTTACTAATATCATGACTTCTTCAAGTTTTTGTTTGACAATGATTTTATTCATTCACAATGGAATGAGCCAGTAATTACCAATGTAGACAATGTTAGAATCAACTGTACAACAGTGAATGCAATTAATATATCACAGTTATTGTACAATTTATCATTACAAAAAAGTACTTAATATTGAATAAGTGCTAAGGCAGTCACAAGAATAGTCAGATTTTATTAAAAAGGCTAGATCTCTTCTGGAACGATATCCGTTAGCCCTCTGATTGATTGTCATATTCTTTTACTTCGCTAAATTATTACATCCTCGGTCACATTCTGCTAAGATAGTAACAACTTTTGTACCGATTTTGTTTGGGTTGCTTGTTCTATCATAAATATCAAGTTACCTGCAATTCCGTCTCCTTCCCGTCTTAGCCGTCGAGGTTTGATGTGTTGAGTATGATTGACTGTTGTCGGTTCCGAAGAGAACCGACCGTATTAGAAAAGCCCTGTCGTTTTTGTCCCTGAATTTGTAACATCGTAGGCCGTACTGAACTTCGATAACAAGACACAACAATAAGTTATTTATAAGATAGTTATATTTCTTCAGATCTAATGAAGTGATAATGTTTAATATGTCATTCTGGATAAGATTTCCTATAAAATTTGTAAACTAAGCTAATTTGCATTTAGAAAATGCATTACTTTTGATAGGATAAATTGTAATTACTTCTTTAGAACAATAAAGATACTTGCAGTTAAACAGGGTATCATTCACTACTAAATTTACCACAAACAAAAACTCAGAAAATACTACCATCTCACATTTCAGCAGTATGCAAACAATTTGAACACGAAATAAGTGTGCTGTTATACAATGCAAACCTAACCCAAATGTTCAGAAAGTCCATTTGGTGTACACGCAAGAATAGATGATTTAAAAATTGACCTTTACACAACTATAAAATAGGATTTCCAAATGATATTGTAAACAATGGATGGATTATATTTCAAAGCAAAATTACCAGTGTTTTAGAGTAAAATGAATAATTACTGCTGGGAGTAAGTGAATTTTTTAGGTATAAAAAATATGAAACATAGGTAGTAATATTTGTAAACAAAAGGGTATGAAAGTAAATACGGTAGATATTACCTTGCCACGTCCAGCAAATGAAGATCGACAATGATAAATGATAACTGTAAGATCACCTAAGACAGTTAATCCATTCAAAAGTATTTGGATCTTTCCATCTTCAAGAACATAGGATCTATCACAAAATAAAGACAAAACAAGTACAAATAATTATTATAAAAACACGTAAAAGTCGAAACTAATAAAATTTATGTCGTCAGATTATCTGTTGCTTCAAAAGCATTCGATCATTTGATTGTCAACCACTAATTTGCTGATTCAGACTAAAACACTAGGTATTATTACTAGGTTTCACAAAAAATTTACTGTGTACTGAGCTGCACTAATGACGTTTTTGTTCTGCACAATAGTTGACGTATCAGCCACTTGACGGAAATAAGTTATCGTTTTTAAATTATTGTTTAGGACACAAAAGAAGAAAGGAAAGCGAGATTTATTGTCTTATTTTTCATGGATATCAACCGATGCACATGAATAATCGTCAGTCATTTATAAGTAACATCAACGTACTCAGTGGATTGGAAATGAAACTGTACTCATTAGTGTAAATGTTTCCATATATACAAAACACATAGTCAGAATCTGTTGGACCAGATAGTCTAATTTACTATAGTAGTTAGAAAACAACTACTGTGTTAAAATCCCACATTACAATTTAATTTGAGAGGAAACGTAGAACCATTATCCATCAAACATAGTGTGATTCAAGGTAAAATACACAGAAATTTACTTCATCAATGCTACGTTAATTTACCACTCGATAACCTACCGTTGTGGTATATCTAATTGGTATATTCAGATGGCACAGTCCTAATTAGAAGAGATACTAACAAAATGTAGTTCTTTGAAAGTGTTTATAATCCTTCCCTTTTTTTCTAAATGTACAATATTGCTTAGCAATTGGTTTGTGTCTTTACTTAATTTGGTCATAGGTTGTGGAATAATTGGTCATATTGACGATTTTTCAGATCTTGTAGATTTCATCATCCCCGATGGATTGATAGCCGACTTGATTTCATCCTTTGTGCTAGGTTTGAAGCGGTTACGAGTTCACTTAGACTGCGAACGGAACAAAGACTTGTGACCATGGACCAATAAGCTAGCTGTTTGATACGTCCCGACCCAGCTAACTAGAGGAAGAAGTTCAAGCTTGGAATGGCGAAGTATATTCCGCAAACAGCCAGAAAACAAGCGATAACAACAGACACAAATCAAAACGTATACATACAGCACAAAACCGTCCTTGGGGAGAGTTACAAAATAGCATACTAAAAGACACTACCAAGTGGAAGATATGACATGAAGGCGAAAAGAGCGCTTTTGGCGCGAAAACAAAGAAATTCAAATTTTCTAAATAAAATTACAAAATTAGGTCTTTTTCCAAGTGAGTTCTGGGGATCTAACGTCCCAAACACTTTACCAAGCTTGTATTATCTGCATTTCAAACAAGATGTGTCCGTTTGGCTATCAAACGATGAGTATACAATGTAGTGATTCTTTATGGTTGTAAAGTGAAGTCTATAGCATTAAGAGCAGTAGACTGCTTGTACCTAATAAAACAAATATCTTAGAAAAATTGTTCGAATACAGTGGAGAACCTCAATTATCCTTCAACTCATTTATTGACTCTTGCTGAACATATGTAAAATGAGACAGTCTAAAAGGGTGCACAATCTTCTCGATTACTATGTTGTTTATAACTAAGACATAAAAAATCCTGCTAACATTAATCACCTCTATGCATTCTCAGATTTCCTTTCTGTTGTTCCCCTGTTTTGAAAAAAATAATGTTACAATTTGATTAAATTTTTGTATTTAGAATGTTTGAAGCTTTGTCCTCATTCTAAAAATTCGTCATTTGACTTAGCCGACAATGTCAGTCAGTCAGTCAGTAACAACGTAGAACTTCGTACGTACGTACATCAGTTCGAGTTGCCACACCACATTAGCACAGAGATGCAGTGGTCGATTCAAATCCCGTAGTGGTAGAGGTAGCAAGAGTATAAGCAGTAATCGGGAAGATTAGGGTTTGGAGATGTTATTTAAAGAGTATAATCCAGTGAAAGAAATTTGGAAAGAGGGAAAAAGGGACATGAAGAATTCAGAAGATTAGAGTTTTGGAGAACACAGAGAGTGGATGCACCTGCGCCATTGCAAACGATTTTGAGCCATATCATTCAGGGTCTCTAACCATCGGTTGCTGTCATCTCGCGGTCCCCAACCAGGTAGTCTACACCTACCAACATGACTCAGTTCACTTGTCAGTGACTTCATGGACTTGTGCCATGTTTTGGTTTGGCCGCCCCTAGCTTTCTTCCAACCTACTCCTATACTACTGAACATAGCACGTCGAGGCAGTCGGTCGTTGGGCATACGTAACACGTGTCCCAGCCATCTCAACTGATGAAGTTTCACTACGTCATCAATTGATTTGTCATCCTTACCTAGTACCCGTTTCCTAACAACTGCAATACTTACTCCATGGTCCCAGGATATACGAGCAATATTTCTAAGACATCTACAATAGAATACTCGTAACCTACGGATATCCTCTACTCTTATCGGCCATGTTTCACTGCCATAAAGTAGGACGGAACGAACTGCTGCGCAGTAAACACGTCCTTTGGTTGATAGACGGATATCTCGCCTACGCCATAAATGACGCAAGTTGGCAAAAGCTAGTCGAGCCTTCTGTATCCGTGCTGAGATTTCGTCACACACCAAACCACAAGGGCTGATGAGACTTCCAAGATAAGTGAAGCGGTCGACACACTCAACTACTTCACTCCCTATCACTAGTTCGGGTGTCGATGTAACCCAATCCTGAAGCAACATTTTGCATTTCGAGGGAGAGAATCGCATCCCGAACATGCTTGCATTGTTGCTTAGAGTGGTCAGAAGACTCTGCATTTTGTCAGCGTCTTCACCAAATAAAACTATGTCATCTGCATATTCTAAGTCAACAAGTGAACCTCCCGGTAGAAGTTCAACCCCTGTAAATTTAGATAAGGAGAGTGTTATCTCTAAAAGTACGTCAATGACAAAGTTGAACAAGAATGGGGAGAGTGGACAGCCCTGACGAACACCACTTGAGGTGATCAATTCTGATGACAGTTCGCCATAAGCTCTCACTCTACCAGTTGTGTTCGAGTAGAGAGCCTTTATAAGGTTAATGTACTTCTTTGGTACTCCTTTCAGTGACAAACACTGCCATAGAACCTCACGATCAACGGAGTCAAATGCCGCCTTAAGGTCGAGAAATACTACCATTGTGGGGCGTCTGAATGTGTGTCTCTGTTCTAGAACCTGACGTAGTGTGAATATCTGATCTATACAACCACGTCCAGGTCGAAAACCAGCCTGGTTTTCTCTAGTCTGCTCTTCACGAGCTTTAGTTAGGCGTCGAAGTATTATTGAGGCCAATATTTTAGACACTATATTAGTCAAACTGATTCCTCTGTGATTGTCACAAGAGGACTTTTGTCCTTTCTTAAAAACTGGCACAATCAGTGATTGAGACCAGTCAGATGGGATTACGTCCAGTTCCCAAATTCTACCTAAGACCTCAGTTAATCTTGCTGCTAATACTGGACCACCATCCTTAAAAATCTCAGGAGTAAACCTGTCAGGGCCTGCTGCTCTCCCTCGTTTCAGATTTCCTATGGCTTTTTCAACTTCGTAAAGGGACGGAGGACTTACATTAACTTGCCATTCAGGTTGACTGGAGATCGTGGGAAACCGAAGTGTGGCTGAAGGCCAGTTGAACTGATCCCTAAAGTGTTCTGCCCATCGATCCAATCTCCTGGATTGAGAATGAATAATATGTCCATCTTTCTCTGAGATTGTTTCGCTAACGGTCGGGTTCCTAATTCCGGTTTCCTTAACGAGTCTAAACAATTGTCTGCTATTACCTATTGCCGCTGCCTTTTCCATCTCTCTTGCTTTCGCTACCCACCACTGTTCGCGATCATTGCGTAGACTTCTTGTCAGCTTGCGCTTAAGCTGACTCCGCTCTTCATTATGTTCAGAGCCAGGTGGAATGAGTTTTCGAGCATCTATCAGTGCGATAGATGCTGCTGAGATCCAGTGTTGCTCCCTAATTTTACGGTTTACCTTACTAGCAGATGTCACTGCTGTTTCCACAGCTTTTCGGATATCGTTCCATGCTGCCTCGGGGTGGGCATCACATACATGGCTGCCTAACTGTTTTCCTAGTTGTTCCTGAAATATATTCTTAGCTTGACTATCATTAAGTAGGGCCCTAAGAGGTTTCCTTGCAGGATCTTTCCTACGTCCAGTAAGACGCAAGCAAATACGCGCTCGCACTAGAGCATGATCTGAATCTAGGCATGTGCTCCAGAATGAGCGACAGTCTTCTATCGAGCCCCTCCATCGGTGGCTGATAGCGATGTGATCTATTTGGGTCCAACGTTGGGACGAATTAGGGGGTCGCCATGTTAAAAGATGTTTTTCCTTATGCTTAAAGTTAGTATTTACAAGGAACAGGTGGTTATCTGAGCATAGCTGCAACAGACGGTCGCCATTATCTGTTCTTTGAGCCACGACACCATAGGATCCACCTAGGTGTCTTTCCTTATCGCTTAGTTTACCTACTTGAGCATTAAAGTCACCGGCCACTATTACTACATCCGAACGCTTAGCTTTTCGGAGAAGGTCGGAAAGCTTTCTGTAAAACTCATCTTTTACATCATCTGAGCTGCAGTCAGTGGGAGAATAGGCAGAGACGACGAAGAGGCAACGACGAGTGTCCCTATCTTTCCGGATTCTTACTGTTCCGTTCAGTCGGACAGCGCACAAACGACTGTTTACTGGGATCCACTCTAAGAGAGCTAGTTCTGCCCTAGGACTCAATGCTATACCTACGCCGGCGAGGCCACGGGAAGCAGAATCAGGGCTTCCAGATACACGAAGCGTAAATCGAGTCGGTTCTTTATTTTGGCATGGTGAGGTCAAATGAATGACGCTACTCGGATCTTGTATGCGCGTTTCGGAGACGCAGCACACATCGATGGCGCGAGATTCTAAAGTCCTAGCTAAGGAAGCCTGCTGTCCTATTTGGCACAGTGTTCGTACGTTAAAAGCTCCTACGTGCAGTTTAGAGCGTGGTTTCAGGAGACCAGGAATGGCGTTCCACGTACTCGAATCGTTTGCCCTAGCGGTGCGAGGTGATAAAGAGACGTGAGGAGGGTTAGTCGGGAGGATAAGAGAGGTATTAGGAGGTGTAGGAAGGATTTGAATGTGACCACCTTGGTCTCTTGTGTTGTTACGGGTATGAGGGCTGATGTCACTTCCCGGCTGCCCACACCGTGGAAGGGTATTTCTTGATGAACCTGAAAAGGAAATTGGATTAGTGTTGGTCTTGACGACCTGGGAGCGTGACCGCAGAGCCCAAGGGACAACTGCTTGAGGCCGGTCGCGCACGGCCTTTTTGTGGAAGGTTTTTGACGTGTTAGCTCCGTTCTTCAAGGGGCCTTACCGCCGGAGACGGAAATCCGTGAGGTAAGGTGAGGTGTGCATTTTTAGGGTCGACCTTTTCTAACCCCACCCCTCCTTGTGGGAAGGCAGCATCGCTCTCATGCTGGTTGTCCGAGGGAAACACCTTACTGCTGTCACACCTCTCTACAGTCAGCAGTACGACTTCGCCCTCAGACCTTGAGTTGCTGCTTTTAGTCTTACCGTTCGCCAATCGACCTGCCTGGCATGGTAGAACCTGCAGGAACATATGTTCCAGCCAATATAGCTCGGTTGGGTCATCACGATAGGCAAGCCCGACCACCGCGTCAAGGTAGCAGCTTCGATCGATGCTACCTACTAGATGAACTATAATAATCACAAAGGTCTTCTTATTTTTCTAACTTTAAACAGGGTTATCGTATGAATAAGAAATTTGATTTTATGTAAAAAATATATTGATAAATACCTTAATAATAATAAACCCAAACTAAATTTTTCAACAAAGTGGCCTAATAACCAGAAACAAAAAAATTTCTGCAAAACAGTAGACAACAACTGAAACACATTTGAATCGGTTGTTTCAATCTTCTCATTGATGTTTGGGACTAGAAATGATCAGTCACTTTTTGCATATGAGCGTCCTCTGTGAATAGCAGTTCTAAACACCAAAGGAAAGATTCAAACAATCGATACAAGTGAATTAAACTTCACTCCATTTCAATAGTTACTAGCTATATGGACTCATGAGTCACCATCTATCTCTGCTTATAAAATAATAATAATAATAATAATAATAATAATAATAATAATAACCTTAAATTATCGTATTCTGCGTAAGTTGAGTATACTTTGGTCTTTCCCTCAAATATTTCCACATACGGTCGACATCCATTTCTGAAATATTTTCAAGAAAAACAAGTACAATCTTTATAATAAGAACATTGCTATTATTAACTTCGAATATAACCTTCTTTGATTTAGGCAATCTCATAGGAAAGTATCACTAAGTTTCAATATAGACATTGAAGTTGAAAAGTGAGTACGTAGAACTGTATATGGTAAATGGGTTGCATTTCTTTTTTTTTATAAATTTCATGTTAGTTTACGAGTCCAAATCCTCTGTATCCACTTAGGGGAGTTGGAAAACCCTGATTCCAAACCAATGGTGCACATGGACTCCAAGATCCTCAGGGAACACATAAAGTACGAACCTATTGTTGGTCACCGGCTACTATGGGACTGCATCTCCTAACGTTGCTCCAATGCCTTGTGGAATAGACCTTTAGGTCGAAGGCTCGGGGAGTGGCCCTCTAAGAAAAGTACCTGCTTCGGTTTGGACGCTCGGACAGTATTCCAACCCTCACAAAATTCAAAAGATTTGTGTGGCGCACATATAATTGCTTCCTCCTTGTACCAATGATTACGTGTTTAAATAAATAAATAAATTATAACAAATCAGTAAGAATATTTGTTTGAATAACTAGTACCAAATAAGACAAAAACAGCGTCCTGATTTATACTGTTGGCTACTAGTCAAATTTAACACAAGTATCAGACTAAAAGGCAATATTAAACCGAGCCAATCAGGATGTACCTATTCCATTGTAGACCGATCAATTTTAGTCCTTAAATTAAACAACAGGAAAAAATGAACTCTTGCAAATGAGACAGATACCGATTGTAAGAACTAGTGTCCAGCCGGGCTCTGTTGTTCGGCGAAAAAGGCATTGAAGTTTGAAGCGAAAAGAACTGAGTTTGAGTATCAATCCAACCATCAACGTAGGGATGCAGATACACTCAACTGGCGAGTCCGAAATAGAACAGAAAGTGAATCTTGGGTTCAAGTGTTAATAATTACCTAATTTAATTAAATTTATCTAATCATTACAATAACTATTTTTCACAAGTCAACGAGGTTTTTAAATAGATTCAGTCAAAATTTTAATGTATTAAGATTATTTAACTGAGTTGAGATCTATCAATCAAAAAAGTACCAATAATAATGAGTTAGAATTCACAAAAATAAAACAAAGTGGTCTATATAATCCACGTTAATTAATGACTATTAAAACAAAAAATCGACTTATAACAAACACCAAATTAAAAATTCATTTATTCCTAATCTAGTACATGGCAGTAATAACAGAAAACAATTACAAACTCATTGATAGTGCAATACCAACTACAATACACTCAGGATAGTTTTTATATATATCGCTCACTGACAATCAAAACAAAAACAATTAAAGATACACATAATTTAGCATGAACTTATGAAGAGAGTACTTACTTGGATTTATTAAATGTTGGTACCGGTGCAATTATCAAACTGATAAGATTCAATGGGAAATGATGAGGTGTAAATACACGATTATGACTTAACTGAGCTACATAGTTGATATATCTGCATGAACAAGCAGGAAAAGAAGAAACAAAATCAATTAGAGTCCATTCAATTGATTTAGTTACGTACGTTCATTAAATAAAACAATCAATAAGACAATGAGTGTCAGAAAATAAATATCCATGGAAATAAAGGGAATAATTTAAACATGATGTGTCATTTAGATTGAATAATAGCTTCAAAATAAACACCCACTAGAAAGACCTTTTTAACAGATAGTTTTTTGTTTGTAGAAATTCGTTTAGTTCGGAGATAGTTTCCGTTATCACAAAAAACAAATAGGTGTATATACGACTAAGACGCCCTGTACTCTAATGGCACCGCCATTGATCACTGCTTTGTCAGCCAGTGTGTTAGTCTATGATTACCATACAAGCTTAATCGACTATTCATTTAACTTCAAACAATTTCCATCAGAAAATACCGTCATTCTTATCAAGTCAGTGAAACTGGGAAAGTAGAGAGATGTCTATCGTGTATCAACAACATTTCCGTAACGCGGATGTTCAGTAATTTTTGTGTGAGCACAGTGATGATGACTCACTTTGTGTCGCAATCTTGAAATACTGGCTTCCGTGGCTTGAAGATGTGCTACGAATATCATCCCAAAAACTTCCACAACGTACTTTATTTGACAACACTGAGACTTGTTGAAAAAATGTATTTTAATAAGAATTAAATTTCCAATGATTATGCAGTGAATATGATTAGAATACGCCAAAGTCTCTAACTAATTGTCTCAAAGTAAAGTGAAATCTCTTTAAATCAACGAGTGGAGAATTGTAAATAAATATATGATTAAACATCATGTATGCTGTTATTATAAATTTGTCGAAAGTTGCTCGAATCCATAGATTCCAAATATTAATCCTGTTTGTAACACTTTATAATTTATGGGTTTTTTTATCCTAGATTTTGATTCTATAGTTTATTACTCTAAATGCTTGTCATTAGCTATTCGATTGATGGCATTGAGTTAATTCATCACACTTATCTCCTTTTTACTACATGAAATCCTGAAATAAAATGAAATACAGTTAGTTTGTTTACAATTCATTAAATCTTTTAAATGCTAGGATAAGACAGTTAATGACAACTTCACCTGTAATATATACAGAAAACACAATTAATACAGGAACAAAAATTAGAACGAATAGTTTATACCTAATCTGTGATGCATTCAAGCCAGGATTGCCACGTTTCGATGCAAACAATTGAATTGCAGGTGACGCGTTATCAAATACCCGACAAAAGCATAATAAGGAACATGCTAGTACTGCGGACAATGTTTTGCCATCGGTACAATGTATAACACAAATATTGTTCGATTTTTGAGCTAACCATAACCTTGCATTTAAGCATAATTCAATTAATGATTTTAGCGCTGGAGCACGGTGTGCTTCGAAACCACGATGTGATACTCTACCATGAAACCAATGATCTGAACGATATGGACGATTACTAAGATTATAAACAGCATAAGCATCTGAAAAACGTGCATCTAGCATATTTTGCATTTCTTCCATGGAATTCACATTGGCAAGCACTTCAAATCCACTTTCAATGGGGAAAGATGTAACTAAAGCATAAAGGACAGTGTATTTTTTTAGTAAATTCATACAAAGAAAATGAATTAAATTGAAAAGTAAAAACACATGTTTTTACATAGATCGGCATCGAGTTGAGGAAATTGTTAAATCTCGTTAATATCACGAACCGAATTCAGTTGGAACACCATTAAAAACCTTGAAGTACAAAAAAGCCGTTTCGTCTTAATACTGTAATTCCCAGCAGTACGCATCCACGACTGTACGATCGGGAATCAAGCCCAGGAACCTCGTACTGATACGCGAACGCCTAATCTCTAAACCACCAAGTCAGAATCGGATGGTATAAAAGTCTAGTTTCAATCAACCAGCGAAATAGTACGATTACCTACCATTGTCTTCGATGCGTATCTTCCTCAAATCCGAAATGGTTGCTCAACTTAATTTGTCACTGCTACTCACTATATATATATATATATATATATATATATATATATAGTAAAATAGGTATAATCTAATAAGCACATCAGTTATTTAAATATTAAACACTTAATTATATTCATTATATAAAGATCATCAGTGAGTAATCCTCACGTGCTTAGACTGAAGAATGTCGAGTACGTATTACGTTGACAACAATAACCTATAATCTGCAGAGGCTATTTCCCTTATACCTGACTCTAATAAATAATATCCCGTTAACTGAGCATTTGATTTACTTATTTGAATACATAAATATTGGTACAAGGGGGCACCAGATACATATGCGCCATACAATAATAATGAGAATGGGAAGAGTTAATGATGTAAGGTGTGTGAAAAAGACGGAACAAAAGCGACCACAAATTAGTGTATGGTAGAGAAATAATAATAATGGGGGAAACGGAAAGGTACAACCAGAAACAATTCTTTCAGTTGAAGAAGTTATGGTCACCTTTTATGAAGAAAGTAAAAGAAGGTTACAGCAGGATCGCCACTGGCTTCTATTCTGAGCCATATCTGACAAAGTCTCTAGCCACTGCGTTGCACCATCTCTAGGACACCAACCAAGGTGTCGTGAAGGACCAGCACAAGCCAGTCCTATGAGGCTTTCTTTCACACCACGACACCATGTCATACACTGACCACCTCCCCGCCTTTTCCAACCAGTCCCAGTGACGGTAAATATTGCACGACGTGGAATTCTCTGAGACGACATTCGTAGAACATGTCCAAGCCACTGAAGTCGATATTTCAAGATGGTGACACCAATTGAATTATCGTCTCTGCGCCCAAATACACGATGCCATACCTCTGCATTACTAACATGGTGTTGCCACTGGATGTCAGCAATCCTTCGGATACAACGATGATAAAACACAGAGTCGTTGAACATCCTCAACTCGGAGAGGCCAGGTTTCACAAGCATAGAGCAAAACTGCTCTCATCGACGCGTTGTAGATCCGACCTTTTACAGCCAGACTAACATCACAAAGGCACCAACGACGGCCCAGGTTGGCATAAGCCACTCTATCTTTCAGTATACGTGCATTGATTTCATCACTCACGCCACCACCAGCACTTATGCAGCTACCCAGATACACGAACTTCTCGACTACTTCTATCTGCTCACCATCCAGGGTGAGTACAGGATTAGAATCCTGCCAGTCTTGTAGAAGTATTTTGCACTTCGAAGGTGCAAAGCACATACCATACCTACAGACATTAATTGCCAACTGATTAGGTGCAGGTTGCATGGCTTGGGTATTATCGCACAGTAAGACAATATCATCCGCATACTCAAGGTCGACAAGTCTTTCTCCAGGTGTTTGGCGGAGGGTGTAGATGTGATCAATACATCGCTGACCAGAAGGAAAACCAGCCTGCTTCTCGCGAGTCAATCTTTCTGGTGTTTTGAACAACCTACGAAGTATGACGGAAGCCAATAGCTTAGACGCAATCGCAAGTAGACTTATCCTCCGATATTTGTTACAGGAACGACGTGAACCCTTTTTAAAGATAGGGACGACTATCGACTCATTCCATGACGATGGTACACTCTCTAGTTCCCAGACCTTTGTAAACAACAGTCAGTTCCCTAGCCAGAAAGCCACCACCATCTTTAAAAAGATTCGGAGGTAAGTCATCTGGGCACGGTGATTTGCAGCGTTTCAAGAATCGGAGTTCCTTGTGGACTTCCATCCTCGTAGATTGTTTCGCTCACATCAGACTTCTTGCTGCCAGTGGCTAGGATGAGTTGGAAGAGCTTCCGGTAGTTACCAGATGCAGCTGCTGCTTCCAGTTCATAGGCATGCTCCGACCACCAGGCTTCTCGGTCCTTACGCAAGCTTTGCTCAATTTCATTACGTAACGTCCTTCGTTTGTGGTCAAACTCACGGTCACCCGGAGTAGACCGACGGGCTTCGATAAGTTGGGAGGAGCCTGAAGAAACCTGGCGCTTATAATTGGGACGTTTCTCGAAGCTGCAAACGAACTTACCATTTTCATGGCGTCACGCAATTCTAACCAATGCTTATTTATACTTTTCGGTGGGATAGTAGCTAGCCTATAAGCTAGCTCGGTTCGATACTTATTTGCTACACAAGCTGCAATCAATTTACTGACAAATCCGTTTAGGGCGATGAATTCGTTGGCTAGTGAAAAGTAAGGTAAGATTGGCACAAACAACGGCATGATCAGAGTCAAGGGAGGTACTCCTAAAGGAGCGGCAGTGGCAGATCGGCGATGACTATGCCGGAAGTTAATGCTAGCCAGAAACAGATTGTGATCTGTGCACAGCTGCGGTAGACAGTCCTCGTTATCTGACCTGCGACCAACAAGTCCCCGTCGGCTATTATTAATAAGTGAATGTGAAATGTGTGAATTCTGATTGGAGTGTGCACAGTTGTCATCTCATCAGGTTTGTGTGAGGGCTATGATACTTCCCGGGTGCCCAGACCGAAGCAGCTGGTTTTCTTAGTGGTAGACAAATAATAATTACTTTGATTATTATTAATCCTCTTTCTTCCAATTACTCAATGTTAGTTTATAATCGATGTGTTATTATATAACTATTATGTAACGCGTGTACTCAATAAGTATTATTTCATTATTGTAAATTATAAAATAATTAAATGGGCTTATTACAAATCAATAGGGTAGGAAGTATATCTGTGAGTATCATTCAATTGAAATGATGATTTGAGAGTAACAATCAAGACATCTAGGTAGAATTCAGTCAAATGTACTTAACTTTATAATACGGAAAGCTTTAGACATCCACAATTTTGTGAGTACAAAAACAATTTGTTAGATCCAACTTTTTACTATGGTTGTAATTTGCAGTTTTATTTTATTTATTTCATTGTTCCTTCTCTTTTCATTGTTCACTATTGAGTTTACAGAGATGATTCTAATTTATTCTATTTTTCTATCACTATTATTATTACAAAGACCGTTCCTACCTCGATACCTTGGTTATCATTCTCAGATCTTCATCTCAACAATACTAACAGATACATTTTCCATCTGGTTGTGTATTTATCATGTTTCAATAACAATTTATTTACTTAAAAAGACGTAGTCACGTTTCACACAAAACTAATCAAATTACAACTGACAGGCAATTATTTGTTGATCTATAATTTATCAGATATGTAAACATACAATTGTACAGCCTGGTAAAAGAACTCGTTGAAAAGAATTCCCCTACCGAATAAACTGAATATATTTGAATTATATGGCAATTTTTAAGAATAAATTTTCCATTATATGATATTTGTAGAAAAAAACAGAGGGATAACAAGAATCATTAATGCGGATCTGATGATCCAGAACTCTGACCATTAAATAGGCGAAATTTCTGAAATTTTATTAAACTCAGATGACGAGCAATCACAGAACATGGTTTCAAACTATTTTTAGACTATTTTAAACAGTTCTGCTAAGAAAATGGAACTGATCGTTTACACCCTGTTCATTGCATCAACGATAATTTATAACGGTCAGGCAAACTAGGCTTTGTTGAAACGAAAAAGCGATGGACGTCTGAACCAAGTAATCACCCTAACGAATTATATCTTATTCTGTCGTTCCGGAACGCCGCCTGCAGCTCTTCTAAAGTTACTGTCGGTCCAAAGCCCAAGTAAGAAGGAGGGTAGGGCATAGGGACGCCAACCCCATCCCGTAGAAGAAATGATAATAAAAAACCCTAAACAGAATAAACAATTTAAACCATCTAAACTCTGCTCTCCGAGTTACAGGAAGAATTATGACGCCTCATAACGAAGGCTGAGATTCTTCGAAAGTCACGAGGTCGATGAACCATCTAAAAATCAGACCAACAGTTAATATAGCTACATGGAATGATCAGACAATGTGGGAGACCAGAAGGACCAGTCAAATAACTACGGAATGAGGAGATACGACATGGAGGTGCTCAGAATCAGCAAAACATATTGGACCCAAACTGGACAGAAAAGGATAGATTCGAGAGAGATGTTGCTGTACTCCAGTCACGAAGAGGGAAATGCTCCAAACACTGAGGGAGTGGCTCTGATGCTGTCCAAACAAGCACGAAATGCATTTATAGGGTGGACATCTCATGGATCCATGATCATCAAAGCATCCTTCAAAATAAAGAAGGACGGAATCACAATGCATGTTATCCAATGTTATGCACACAACAATGATAGCAATGACGACAATAAAGATCAGTTCTACGAGAGGCTGCAATCGATCATAGAGAAGCGCCCAGGAAACCACCTGACCACCCCAATGTGAGACCTAAACGCCAAAGTCGGAATGAACAACACCGGATACGTAGATATCATGGGACGACATGGACTAGGAGAAAGGAATGAGAACGGTGAGAGATTTACAAGTCTCTGTGTATTCAACAAACTGGTTATAGGCTACACAATGTCCTCACACAAATGCATACACAAAGCTACATGGGTCTCACTGGATCACACTGCAGAGAACAGGATCGTACATATTTACATCAGTAAAAAATTCGTAAGATCCATAGAAGACGTGAGAACCCGGAGAGGAGCTGACATATCTTCAGATCACCACCAACTGGTGGTTGCCAAGGTGAAACTAAAGCTAAATAAACGTTGAACTGATTAAACAACATTACAAAGGTTCAATACAGTCTTTCTTCCAGATGCTGACAACCTCAACGAATTCAAGATATATTCTTATTTTTTACACCTAATGCTAAGCTTGAAAGTAAAGCTTTTTCCACATTTCCCGCCTTTGACTTCCATCTAAAATTCAAGCCTAGCAGAATCTATGACAACGATTAGTAGTTATCAAGCATTCATGTACCATACATAACAAAAAAGAAATTAAATGTTATTTCCCTAAGTATTATGGGAAAGATTACATACATGATGAAATTATAATCACATAAGCTACACAATTCATTTTCAATTAGTTAGAGTATTGGATCAGTTATTTGAAAACCAGTCTTTCAGTAACTGGGTTTAATATCAAGGTTTCGCTTCAACTATTTCAATTTAGGTACTCAGGCAGTATCCTAGTATCAGACAACAATGAAAATCCATTGCACCTAAACTGTGTTGGATCGCTGGCATTTACACTATGATATCCAAAGTGTGAAAATCTGCAGTAAATTTGTAGTTCGTTCTTGCCGAACATTGGTGTTAGTAAATAATTGGAAATCAGATTATACTATGTAACTGTAACCAGAAAAATACAATCACAGAACCACTGGAGAACAAAAACACCATCGAGAATTCATAATAAACATGAACCCAAACTTAATTATTAACGGTATCAGATGTCTAACAGCGAGCTATTCTTTACTTCACCAATAGGCATCCTATATGAGTGAGGGATTAAACAATACATTGAAGGTGGTGGGTAGAGGAATATAAATTTTATAAAACGCTGCACATTTGTATTTAAACCTGATGAACATAATCGTGGATGCTGTTAAGAAGCTTAAATAAAAGTGAACAAGTTCGCAATAGTAGGCAACAACAATGAAAAGGTCAAGTACGAACCTTATAGAAACTTCCATAAAATACTGACACGAATACATTACTATGAATAGGATTATTAACGATTACTAACCTGCTATACGTGAAGTGATAAACTGGAAATCAAGCTCTGTATTCAACGTGCTGAAAGATAAGTGTACAAAAATAGGGAGATGCTTTTATTATAACCCAACAGTATCATCAGCAAATAACTCAGAGACAATATTTTTAAACACAAAAGTTGCGTAAATTATTAAATGACAGTTATAAAATTATTAACAAAAAAATTCTATAAGTAACGTTACCACCTATAAACTGAACAAGCAGAAGTTTGATTTATTGATTGATAGACCGACGTAACGTTAATCTGAGTCTAAAACGTCGGGTTTATAATTTGGTGAAAGTAGGCCTATTATAACCTCCGCTAAGTTGAGTATGTTTGGTGGCTCTGTTAGTGGTTGATCGTCAGTCTCCAAGGGATTATTTAAATCAGATGATAACACCGTGCAGTTAGTACCTAAATCCGGGTACTGTGTGTTGGGGCATAGTGATATTATTTCAACCGATGAAAATGTTTTAAAACACCAGCTTTGGCGATTTGGATATGTTTTACTCATGTCACCCCAGTGACTTTCACATTATGCACTGTTTTAAAACTGGATGGAAAAAAGAGAAGAGCTAGTTGATTTATGGGATGGCGCCGTGGCGCGAATGATAGCTGTATAAAACTAGGATACATGTATTAAAAACTATTGTTGAAACAGTAAAATCATTATAAGCTACTCGTATCACTAATATGAATGAATATTAACTTACCTTATGTACATGAGATTTCATAAGACTATAATTGCAGTTTACTTTCCTGAAAGCTGTTTAGTTAACCCATAAAAAAGCATACTAAATATTACTAGCATACTTGATTAAAGTATTTCTTAGTTATTGACAATACGTGGATTTGCCTGTATGTACGCCTATCAGCAATTGATGAAACCCAGTAATCAAAACTAGGTACACATACTTAAAGCTTTGAAAAATATACTTTGTGCAGACTGTTATATCCCGATGAGAATAATGAATGGTAACTTTTGGGACCCATTTATGGACCAATACTATACGTATATTTTTATCGTATAATTTTAAAATGACTAAACTATTCATATTCGTGTTCCTCTCATCATAAGCTTTGTTTTGACATATGAACTGTTATTATACGATTTACCATTCGTGAGTTATATCCAGTCTATCAATTACTACCTCCAATATGCACAGCCACTTTTGGTTAAATCTTGTACAAATGTTGTTTCCTATTTTATGGTACGATGTGAATTGTCTGATTGGTACATAAACCCAGTATGTTTGAAATAAATTATTCATATCACAGAGGCTGAGATTAGTGTTCTGGACTTAACAGGTTAGGTAGGCGGGGAAGCAGGATCGCTAAGGACTCTAGACTGTTCGTACTGGTTTTATGCATCATTGGTCCGGTCGACAAATCACTGTTCTCTAATTGGCGGTATCATGACGTTGTACATCAATAGGGCACAGGGCTAAGTTATAACACAGTCAGTCAGTCAGTCAGTAACAACGTAGAACTCCGTACGTACGTACATCAGTTCGAGTTGCCACGCCACATTAGCATAGAGATGCAGTGGTCGATTCAAATCCCGTAGTGCTAGATGTAGTAAAATTATAATCTGTAATCAGAAAAATTAAGGTTTGAAGATGTTATTCAAGGAGTATAATCCAGTGAAATAAATTTGGAAAGAGAAAAAAGAAAGGGACATGAAGAATTCAAAAGATTAGAATTTGGGAGAACACAAAGAGTGTATGCACCTGCGCCATTGCAAACGATTTTGAGCCATATCATTCAGGGTCTCTAACCATCGATCGCTATCATCTCGCGGTCCCCAACCAGGTAGTCTACACCTACCAATATGACTTAATCCACTTGTCAGTGACTTCATGGACTTGTGCCATGTTTTGGTCTGGCCCCTAGCTTTCTTTCAACCTACTCCTATACCATTGAACATCGCACGCCGAGGCAGTCGGTCGTTGGGCATATGTAACACCTGTCCCAGCCATCTCAACTGATGAAGTTTCAATACGTCATCAATTGATTTGTCATCCTTACCTAGTACCCGTTTCCTAACAACTGCAATACTTACTCCATGGTCCCAGGATATACGAGCAATATTTCTAAGACATCTACAATAAATACTCGTAACCTACGGATATCCTCTACTCTTACCGGCCATGTTTCACTGCCATAAAGTAGGACGGAACGAACTAATGATGATTCCCAATTGTTCAAATTAAAACAAATAAATAACGAGTTCAGACGTGAGATCAAATTGTTGAAAGTAAAAAAAACGTTTTAACCACTCAGTAAATCACTAATGAAATTATGATTAGTACGTTTAGGATATAAATTTTGACGACATGGTAACAGGATTAAAATACGTGTTCAATTAAATGGATGTCAACACTTATGTTATAAACAGTGAAGGGTTTTGTGGAGATTGTAGTAATTTAATAATTGAATTCATGAGTCAATTGAAGCTAGACCACCATTGAAAACCTGAAAGCACTAGACGGCCGTTTCATCTTAGTATGGGACTTTTCAGTAGTGTGCATTCAACTTTCTCACAAATGTAACTTGTGACTTAATAATAATAACTGATAATAAAGTAATATTTTCGCTTCTCTGCCCCAAACGAAGAAAAAAGACAAACGACAATTATTATATGATAATGATGAATAGAGTTTAAAACTATTCGAATAAATCAGTAGAATACTGATCGATAAATAATGGGCAATGCAATGATACGATATAATCAATTGATAATTCCTTACACAATATGGAATAATTGATGCACGATTTCCAAATGAATTGATATCAGAAAACAATAAAACTGACTAAGACAACACATTTTATTTTATTAGTTAACTAAGATGATTAAATGAAAAAATAATAATGATTTGATAGTTTATTGCATGTTGCCCATCATATCCCAATGAAATGAGGACCTAACAATTAAACGTAATTATTGCCTGTTAATATTATATCGACATGAATGCGCACTTCTGAGGAGTCCCATACTAGGATGAAACAGCCGTCCAGTGCTTTCAGGTTTTCCATGGTGGTTTAGCTTTAATTGACTCATGATTTCAACTATTGAGATAAATGTAAATTGTTGTAATTTGAGCATAAATGAAGAAAAATGATAACAACAAATAGTACTCACGTAGAAACAGTCCCAATAACTTTAGTTGATGCATCTCGTATATTACGAATTAAATTGCCAGCGCCTCCTTTAATCATACCAAGCATATTACTCATAGATTGATTGGATAATTGTTGATTACTTGAAATTTGATTAACTGTAGGTGCTTGAGTTGTTATGACTACTGTTGATGATGATGACAATGATGATGGTGGATTAAAACTAACTGTTGGATTTAATTTTTGTTGTGAGGGCAATGTTGGAGGATTGGGTCTAGATGGTTTATTAGATGACGGTTGTGGATTTGTAACAACATTATTTTCTGAATGCATTGATCTCGGATGATAATCACTAACTTTAGGATCGTTACGATCTATAAAGTAAGAGGAATGAGTAAATTTTCAATGTTTTAAAGTCTTTTAAATTTGATTTTAAGGTGAAGATAATTTAACTACATTTTTCCGTCAAAAGAAAAACACTTATTTCAAAGTATTCTGCAAAATGTATTGATTAAAATACATCCTTACAAATCATCATCAAAATGATGGGCTTGTGAATGCCTTCAATGGTTATTTGTAGTTAAAGAACTTGTTAGGGCATGAACTACATTATCCATAATTTAATAATCATTTACAGACTTGTGTATTCTATTTTGAGCTACATTTTAGGTGCGAATGGTAATCATATTCTACCCTGTTACTCAAATCAAAACGAGATTTGAGCGTGCAGGAAACTCAGTGGTTAAAACCTGTGTATTTTATCATAACTAAATCACTGTTCCATTGTCTGTTAAAAGCAATGCCTTATCCTATATAAAACAATTCTATTAAGCTAATGGGGATAAAAATGCTTTTAATAAATAATAAACACAAAACAACAGGTAACTAGAAAATAGAGTGATATTTCAAGTGGTTGGTAGTAAACGCCGGAAGATCTTGGATCTAGCATTCATGCTAGTTGGCACATGTTAGTAAGGTATACCTGAAATCTTGAGGTAAATTATACGCTATGTAGGACTCGAACCCACGTCAGCTTCAAGATTGCAGAAACACCTTGCTGACGAGTGTCAACTAAAGAAAACCTAGGTCGATGATCTCCTGTTGACTACTTACAATCTCAACACAGTGAATGTGATGTCGATTCCCTCGAACTAGTGCCTACATACTAACTTGATTAACAGAATTTGATCAGCACAATATAAATATATCACCATTGAGTAATTAATCAGCTGTAAACAAATTGATTTACTTGGTTATTCTGTGAGCATACTTTACGGTAGACGATAGTATATAGCTTAAATCTCAATTAAGCATTTGTGTACTCAATTTTATAGCAAATATCTAAAAAGCTTATTGAACTGGGATAAAGGTTGTTTCAGCGAATAGTCAAACGATAAATATCAATGTCGATATAAGTGAGTAAGACATATCGTCAAACTCAGTTTAATAGAAACAAGTATCTGGAACAATATTAAATACCTTGACTTCATGACACTCAATTTATCAAACTTGATAAACATCCTGGTAACTTAATCTAGCTTAGAATGTTGACTTACCTTGATTAATTAAGAATTACGGAAATGCTAAATCAAAGTACAAGTAAGACAGTTTTATTGTTCTTTCAAGTAAACAGTAAATATTTTCTTATCACCATGACTTGACTTCTATAAGCACTTATGATAAGAAATTGTCATGATTGAAAAGAAAAGACTACATAGGAATCTGAATATTAGTCACTGGTTAGGATACTGAATTAAATAGTTATTAATTTTCGGCTGATTTCTGTCTGACAGAATGAAAAATAACAGATTAGACAAAATCATACAATTAACAACCAGAATTTGGAACTTATTAGGTGAGATTTAAAGTTGTATTGTCTGATTCAAACAATTACTTACTGATTGGCTGGCTTGTAGGATTAGCTGTAACGTTTACATTACGTCTTTTAGCAACTTCTTCCAACAGAGGAATAGAACCACTTACTCGAACTTCTCTCATAGACGCCAATTCAGATAACTCAGCAAGAATTTCATTGATGTTAGGACGTTGAGATGGATTTATGAGAAGTAATTGTCCTGAAGGAAAAAATCGGGTAACATTTAGTTTGACTAGATTACTTGTGATAATAACAACAGATATAAGTCAACATCACAAGCAACCGCTCAAAACTAGAAAGTTCTTAACAGCCATTAGGTCCCAGTGCGGCACTCCTTAGAAGTGCGCATCAACGACCATGACCTTCAGGTATGACAACAAACACACTCCTTAAACCATTGAGCCGACATCTAATGGTTTACATGCTTAACTCCAACTGATTTGCGCAACCATTTTACGATGTGGTCAGTGGTTAGCTGTCCCATACTAGACAAGATTGAACTCTAGTGTTTACAGCTTCTCTCTAGAACTTCAAGAATCGCCTCTCAAAATTAGTCATTGATGAGCATACGACTATATATATATATATATATATATCACCCTTCTGGTTTCTTAAGATTCAAGATTTGATGATTTCTGAGAACTTGCAAGTGGCTAGGAACATTGTATAAAACGTACAGGGTGACGAAATGTATTCATTCAGAACGATTCTTGTTAATCTACTTTGGAATATGGATACTAGATGAGTGCCTATAAATCACCTGTAATTACAAGTTAATATATATTCCGATAGTAAATGGCAGTGGAATACAGGGAGTACATTTTCGTCCATTTGAAACTTATCAGATGGATGTAATCGCATTTGTGTTGACGTTCGCAAAAATACTGGGACACTGTTAGTGGATGTCGGGACTCAGTTGCTTGGTGCACTCGACGCTAGAAACGATAGGTACTGAATCGGAGACTGTGTGAAAACCAATAATTGGAAGCAGATACGTCTAAAAGATAAGCCCGAAATAGGATGAAGATTAGTATCCTGAATTCCATTTCTAACCAGAATCCGAGAATAAGATGATAAAACCTCGAGTATTGTTTACTAACTTAGTGACATATTACTCTGAAGTACACTTAATTAACGTGTAATGAAAGCAAATCTATTTCGAAGTAACACTAAAACAAGAAGTAAACTTACGAATTAAACTGCAAAATGGTGCATTCACTGAACTTATTGATGCCGGTATACTATAATTAGCATTGAGAATAGCCAATTTTGATGAATCCTCAAATGGATGATAAGTACATGTTAAATAAAATAATATACAACCTAAAGCCTTAAATAAAAAAATGATAAAATAAACATTAAAATATTGAGTAGTTCCATTTGTAACAAACAATGCTAATAATGATACTTTCTAGATAAATAAAATATAGTTTCTTAAAAATACAAACTGAGTATAGAAATATTGCTTTTAAGTTCAATCCCAACATTCTAGATGTATACTAATACAAACAGGTTTTGAATATCAACACACAATCAAAATTATTCGAATAATTCTGAGTCAATTAACAGTTTATAACATTTTGAACTACAATTCACTTGGTATTGTTTTACTTGAGTCTTCCCATTGATGTTTAGGACTGCGACTGATTAGTCTCTTATTGGCATATGTGCATACTGTGCGTATTGCCTCGATATTTCCTTAATTTACAAGTATTACAAGCAAAGATGGATAGTGGCGAGCAGTGGAATCCAGGACGCGCGTCTCGTCCTATTTGGGACTCGTCGGCTGGACGTACCTGCATCTCAGAGTGGATGTTCTCTCTGGGACTCGAATCTAGTGCCGTTCGCTCCAAACGCCATCGCGTTATCCACTTAGCTACTGAGTCCTGATAGCCACTTGCTTGTGCAATGGGGTGAAGTTTAATTCACTTGGTATTGTTTTACTTAAATCTCCCCATTGATGTTTAGGACTGCGATTGGTCAAGACTCAGTAGGTAAATGGATAACGCTATAGCGTTTGAAGCGAACGGCACTGGGTTCGAGTCCCAGAGAGAACATCCACTCTGAGATGCAGGTACTTCCAGCCGACGAGTCCCAAATAGGACGAGACGCGCGTCCTGGATTCCACTGCACGCCACTATCCATCTTTGTTTATAATTTCGAACAATGTTATCAAAATTTTTTTAAAAATCCTGCATTATCTAAACATTTTTTTCAGTTTATTATTATAGGTTATTGTCAAACAAAGGTAAACAGACATCACAAATCTATCAAGTTCTATTGAATATTAACAAGAACGATTATCTTTATTGAGGTTTTCGATTGATCTACAATACTAACGGATTTAAGGACAGTTGAGATATTCTAATACAAGCGGTCCTGTCGTGAACCTGAACATAATATTTTAAAAATTAGACACTACCATAAGAAAAAGAGAAAGTGAAGGAAAATCTTAATGTTTAGGCAGAACAACGTGGAGAAGTACAACTCAATAAACATTTTTTGAAACAGAACCATAACCCTTCATCCGTACACGAAATTAGCAAACAAAAAGTAGTACCAATCAATCAGAAAAGGGTAAAAGTCATACGAAAAACTGAATTGGAAAAAAATGTATTCCAGATTACCGCCATTCCTAGTAATACTCTAGTATTATTAACAAAAATTGAGTTTCCCGTGATCAACTTAACAAGTCCAAAATAATTACACCAACATAATATAATCGAAGTGGAATAAGACTGAAGACAATAAACAAATGAGTAGATAATTGGGATGGTTAAATCGTCTATAGACGGATGGGGAGACATGGGATCATTAATTTCAAAATAAAATTAGGTTATAGCAACTAATAGCGGAATTCATTATATTCAAAATAAAATAGATAAAAGATTACTAAAGCTCTTATGTTCTACCCTTGTTAGGGATGCTAGATCCCCAGAACTCATTTGGTAAACATCTTATTTTTGTAATTTTATTTTGAAAATCTGAATCTCTGGTTTGCGCGCCAAATGCGCCAATTTTTACCTTCAGATTATATTTCCCACTTGGAAGGATCGTAAATGTCATTGGTTCGTTTTGTCTTTTAATATACTATTTTGTTACTTTTCCCAAGGATATTTTTATTCTGTATATATATGCTAGAGTTGTGCTTGTGGTGATTCATGCCTCTGGCTGCTTGTGGAATACACTTTCCCTCTTCTGAACCTGGACTTCTCCCTATAGTTAGCGGGGCTAGAACGCATCGGAATAGTTAGTTTATTTGGTCATTGTGTTGCTTAGTCTTCGTTCCTTTCGCAGATTTACATGATCTCGTAATCTCTTCAAACATAACAACCCTATAGACAATAAGTTTAGTATATCTGGTTCAATAAACGCTTGCAACACTTTATTTCTAATAGGTTTTCAGGCTCTTATGAATGTACAACTTCGATTATCAAACGAGAGAAGTACAACAATACGATTTACTACTAAGATCATTTCAATCATAAAAAATAAGAAAATGTTTCTGTACAGTTAATCTTGAACTTGAGATTACACAAGATTCTGAAAAAGCTTTAACTTAAATGGTCGACAAAGTAATTTATGGAAAAGCTTACATTCATAATCTTATGAATTTTTCTAATCGGCTGTAAAGAATTTTGACATGGTTTACCTTTTTAGAAACATTTATTGATATCTAAAAAGTTAATATGAATTCCCCAAACCTTGGGATATGCGATGCTCTTTACGAAATGCTTTCATATACTTAAGGGTTTAAACGCTCTAACAGAAGGTCGGTACTAACTGTTTCAACTGACAAAGTAGTACTTCTTGGAAAAATGAAAAAAACAACGGTGTGTTTAATGCTAAAACCGGTTTGCTGGATACAGAATGTTTAACTAGAAAATTAGAAAAAGCCCGCTTCTAAAGCAATGATGAACATGTAGTCTGAGATTCGAAAGGATATGCCTCTTAATATTTGTTGGAAGATTTATGGATAAAACGTTTCATTCAAGGGAACAATGATTCCAAAACGCTTGCATATTTTTTCGAATCTTAATAAAACCTACTGTAGTGTACATTTTAGCGTCTATATTTATTTAGAATTAAATTTAAATAAGTAAAACAATAGAAACGATCACTAAGAATAAGGATTAGAAACATAACCTAACACGATTTTGAGCAACTTAGATTGATGGTTACACAGCGATCTGACCAATAAGTTTCGATTGGCACTTAAGATTACACAACAATACCGCTTAATTAGTATAAAGATGGGTTACAGTTAAATGAATCTTTATTTTTAAAAATGACTTACCCAAATATCCGATGGAGTACCAATAAGATAATTTTGGTAAAGATCAAGCATTTCTGGAGCCCGATACATTGGTGTTGTGAAACGCTCCAGCTTAAGATAGCAGTTAAGACGATGTAAAAAAAACATGGTGAGGACGGAAAGAACGAACTACAAAACATACACATGAACTAGATAAAGATTGAATGAATGGTGAAAAGAATATAACATGTTTTGAAAATCTATTCACAAAATAATTTATAACTGAAAGATAATATCAATGTCAGAAGACAATGCACAATTCGAAGATCAATCATTGGTTCAACAGTGCCTATTGCTATTAGTAAAACATGATACCACTTAACAGATACAAATACTAGTGCGGGGTGTGCTACTGATGTCGGCAGATATAAGTAGTATGTATCATCAATCGAAAGTGGAATGCCTGGAGGCAGAAGGTTACGAAGATCAAAGAAAAGAGAACGAGAACAAATAATGATTGGTGTGGAAACGAAATAACAACGAAGTCCGAGACGATTGATCGACATTTTGCAGAAGGAACAATCAAGCTTGAGGTAATTGACTAATACTTCGCAAATGAAGAATTTTCTCCGATTTTACTAAGGTGCTCTATAATTTTGTATTCGATTGTCCCCATTGGTGTTCTCGTTCACCACACTAGTAAGCATTCAGTACAAAGGTACAACTATAAGAAAGTAGATATGACAAACAAATAATTTGATTGATAAAATAAGAATACAATCTTTTGTATAATATCTTCATTTGACGAACTTAGAAATCCATGGACTAATATACATAGGAAAAATATTGTATTGTCAAAGTGAACTCTCAAGAAGATAGGATTTAGACTACAACATATGTCTTAAATATGTCTGATTTTGAGAAATACATAACTAAACAACAGGGATGAACTTATTTAGCGCTTAAACTCTTAAGTCTAGATAAGAGGTTGTGTAAACGATTTAAAGTGAAATAATTAACCCAAAATATCTTACTCAAATGTGGAATACAGAAATGCCCAAACTTTAAATGTGTAAGCTACAACACACTACAAATTACAGAGGGGAAATAGATGAACAAACCTTTAAAAGAAACACCATGCACGTTTAGGGTGCATGTAGCTTAATACATATTAGTTTTAACAGAATTGCATTGCTATTTTAGTATTTAGCCATTGTGGACAAATACTCTTTCCATCTCAGTAACGCATGTTTGTAGCGTGAATCAATATTTTTACACAATTAAATTTAGACCTTGTCAGTGATTTGCCAACCGATTTGATGAGATAAATTTTAAACTGCACAAAATCTTCACATATAAAGATATATATATATATATATAATACACTAAATAAAGCTTAATGAAGCAAGCTTTTGAAGCTGTAGCTCAATTTAAAAGTTAAGTAGTTTGATCATTTCATGGTTGTTCAAAAACAACAGTGCTACAATAGATAGAGTTAATTTTTAAAATTGATTATTAAACTCGCTGATAGCGCAACACTCACTTCTTCTTGAACACTTCCACGTTTTAAAGCAGTCCATGATTGATCTGGACTATATGTAATTGTAGTTGCACTACCAAAATCGCATAACTTTATGATAAAATTATCAGTAAGTAATAGATTTTCAATTTTCAAATCTCGATGTATCACAGGTGGACATTGACTATGCATATGTTGTACACCACGACAACATTGATGAAATATTTGTAAGATAACGTTCGATGGCAGGGGATTTTCACATTTTGATGCCGGTAAATATTTATCCAACTGACCCCCTAAATTTAAGAAATAAATTAATTAGCTAAACTGCTCAAATATGAAATTCTTGTATCATGGAAAAGAGGTAATGATATTTCATTTAAGATTCAGTAACCACTGCTTTTATACGTTGTGTGAGATTTAATTTTTCCTGAAGATTTACAAGCAATATGAACAACGCGGTCAGTGTAAAATGCATGGTTATAGCACCCACAAAATTTGCTTTAATATTTATGTTAAAAAGTATTTACAAAGGTTTCACACTAATGCCTTCATGTAGTACAATTGTTGTGACGCGTGGTGTCCGAAAGCATATACTGATACACTCTGTGCTACGCGCGAACACCCACCCCCAAATAACTACTTGAGCGAGAAAGTGTATTGGGCTACAGAATGAAATGCACAAACACTCATTCATATATACTACTCTATCCTTAGTAAATTGACCCGAAGGAAATGCACTTGACCTTTAGGTCACTTTTGATCGCCGTCGATTGACTCCATATCACCTTACCCTCTTCAAAAATATCTTACTCCTTGGATGTAACTGAAGGCGTAGAGGGGACTGCCGTCTTCTTGATGATTTTCTCGGGGTCTGGCTATCACTTCTTTCACGCTGATCCTGATGCTCTAAACTGACTAAATCAATCAAACAAACTAGCTGCAGGCTCAAGCTAGGAGGTTCTTTATCTGAATTTAATCGTCTGTCATGGATGTGGTTTATATATTTCCCATTAGGAAACTGATTTTCAATTATCTTCGCCTTGGGTTTATAATCTCATCTCTCTCTCTTTGTGGATAAATGTTATCAAATGAATTCGAAGTCTTCCTTCCGTTGGGTGAGGCTCGATTTGGGGTTATTTCTAGTGATTTTCTCGGTCAATCCCTCCCTTTGTGATCATTTTGAAAATCGCTAGAAAATGTCTGTCACCATTTGTGCATCATATGACGATAGAAATATACTTGGATGCAAATAGGATTAGAAGACTGATCGAGCATTTCTGAATCTAGATTAAAGATAATCAAACATTTTAAATTTTGTGATCCAGTCAAGACCCAACAGATTGAAGGATTCATCAGCAACATAACATTTAGATTTGATTATTAGATTAAATCTGACTGTACATTTGGTAATTCCAAAAATTTTGATTAGGATGACCGATGCGTTCTTTATGCAATCATTAGTAGGATGGATGCGTAGCTGGCCAAGTTCGTGCCAATTTTTGCGAGAAATCAAAGTAACATCGGATGCAGTGTCCAATTGCAAAGTGATAATACGATCATTAACATTATCGGATAAATACTTTGGTAAGCTTTGGGGGTTAGATTTCGACAATACATGTACAAAATTTATCCTTCTTGGCATTCGATAATGGGATAAAGGTTTGCTGGGTTTGCGAAATGGTCAGTTACTCCACATTTTGCGGATTTATGTTCATTGAACGGGTAGAAACGTGAAGAACACCATGTCCCATAGTTCCAACTAGTGGGAGTCCTTTTAGAGCAACAGGAATTAGAGTTATAGATATTAGAGGTTTGATTTGGGGATGAAAAATTTCGCGAATCATGTGGTCTGAATGAGGAATTTTCATCAAACCAAATGAATTGAGATTTGGGCATTTGATCGTTTTAGTGTCATTCTCAAGATTAATAATATGATGACATTCATTTGTGATATCTATAAACGTAAGACTGAGATCTGACTTGATTCTGCTTAAAATTCTAGTACGAACATCTGAGTGTGACAATGATTGTGACCCGCATACAAAGATAAGACACTCAAATTGTTCGTTAGGAAGTGAACGCAGCTTAAAACGTTAGCATTATTTATTAACAAATGCTGCATATGAAAAAGTCCTCTTCAGGTCTTTTAACAGTTTTAAGACATTTATATTGCAAATTAAGTTAAGAAGTCTGATTAGTAGAAATTTCTGTTAATTTTTGTACATTAGAATCAAAAAAATATCGTTGGTTTTTTTTGGCAAGATAAGGTTCGAACACTTTCCATATTCAGCTGCTCCAAGCTTACGAAGTAGAATTCTCATCTTCGAAGTGTTACCAATCTACATGTTCACTGGTGTCATTATAAAGAAAACTCTTCTTTTATTCATTTTAAATGATCATAGGTGAATTTAATAAGATCCACAAAACACTCAGTTTGATTTACAAAAACCATTCAGTCGTGAAAATAACACTTAGACAGCTGTGAAAAAACTACCAAAAAAGTATTCATTATCCAGTTATCGAAACTGATGAATAATCATGCATTAGAATGCTAAAAAACCGCTGCATTCTATTTCAATGAATACATGATTTCTAAGACTAATTTTATAACATAATACAGTGATTAATCTAAATCCAATCAAACAGTTTTTTCGGCCAAAATCACTCATTCTGTGAAAGTTAAACATTAAGAATTTCATCTATTGACAAATCTCTGATACAGACTTTACTGATCGCAAACAAACCAATATCAGCTATTACGTTGCTGACTATGCAATATAGGAAAAATCTGAAAAATAGTTCACTGATGTTAGTGGATCCTAGACAGATTACCAGAAACTAATACAGTTACTGAAAAACATGTTTCGAAAGTGAAAAGTAGAACTTTCACGTAAATAACTAAGGCTGTTATATCATTTTCAATATGATAGGAAAATTGCGCAGGATAACAGGAATTGTTAAGATATAAAATCTATCTATACATATTTGTGACAGGTCCTATATTGTTCATGAATGTCAGACTATTGTCGTGGCATAAACAATAGAGTGGAACAGTCAAATCAAGGAAATAAAAAAAAACAGCAGCTACTAAATACCTTTATGAATAATAGAATCAATAGGTCTAAAAACTTCACAGAAACTATTGACTACAAAAATATGGACACAATATAAAGTGTTTAACAAATATGAGGAGAGAAAATATGAACTTACCTTTACAAAACTCTGTGACTATTAAGAACTCAGTACCAATAACCTTCATTTTCTCTTTACCAACAGATGCTGCACTAAAAAACTTAAGGATGTTTGGATGTCCGTTTAACTGTTTCTAAAGGTAAGGGATTCATCAATACGGTAATAAAATCTGATACATACATACCAGTAAACGAACTTCATGAAGAATTAAATCCATTGAAGGTTTGTCGTGAGCGAGCATACGCTAAACAAGTGATTATAAAAGCAAACAGATACCTTTAACGCATATGATGTATTTTCATTGACATCTTGAGCTTCATAAACTATTCCATAGCCACCTTCAGCAATGATTCTTTTAACTTTTAAACTTAGTTGCCCGACAGATATACTACTGCCAAGAAATTCATTTTCATTTTTAGTAGTGTTTGAGGTGGCGAAATAGCTTAATGCAGACTTCAGATAGTCAGCCATTAGGATATGTTCAAGTCAACAAACTGGAATGAATGAGTTTTATTTGAAATTTATTTTAATTAATAGAATGTCCCAAAAGATTCATTACCAAATGAACACGCATGAATGTTCCACGATAAAACATACTGAATACTTTCGAAGGTTACGAAGCAAATTATAGGCAACATAGGAACCGGAACATACTTTCATTGGTTCAGGTTGTCACACCACATTAATACAAGAGGATAAAATTATTAAGACGAATCCCATATCACAGTATTAACCGTATTGTAAAAGCTTAAGCAGACAATATGAACGGGAAGAAAACAAAATTCATGAAATAAGGAAATATAAGGTAACTTTAAAGCTCAGGATCGGGTTGGAGACAAAGTGAGAATGCATCTACGCCATAAAAAACAGCCCTGAGCCACGTTGCTTAATGCCTCTAACCTTTAGTTACGATAATCGCGCAGACCCTAGCTAGACAGTCTACAACTATTTACACGAATCATTCTAATCGTCAATGATTTCATTAGTTGGCTTTATGTCTTGGTTTGGCTGTCCCTAGCTTTCTTCCAATATACTCTTACACCAGACGTCACCCGTTTATTTAAGCGCTAGTTTGGCATACGTAATACGTGTCCCAACCACCTATCGATGAAGGTTCACTACCTCACCAACCAAATTGCCAACTTTATCTATTAAGGCCATGTTTCATAAGTCGTAAAGTAGAACAGTACGAACTGGTGAAAAATATACTCATGCTTTCGTTGGAAGACGCCCACCGCTAACTACTTTCATACATATGTAGTTCAGGAGAAAGCACGGGTTATTAAAGAGAAACGACACCGATAGACAATAGATTGCTTAAACTAAAACGGGTAGCCCAAAGTGCCCCCAAATGCCCTGGTACGGCCGAGAGTGGGGAGAGTCCGCTCTCCCTCTCGAAATGCTCTCACATGGCCAGGCGTATATAGCCTCTGCCAGGGAAGTCCTACTCACTGCCTTCTCGTGGCGGGGGTGTTGTTTACAAAAATGAGAGGACGAAAAGTGAATGTCCGGATTCCAAACCAATGGTGCACATGGGCTCCAGTATCCTGCGGGAACAAAAGGCGTATGAACCAATTGTTGGTCACCGGCTTCCATGGGACTGCATCTCCTTACGATGCTCCACTGCCTTGTGGATCAGACCTTCAGGTCGAAGGCTCGGGGAGTGGCCCACTAAGAAAACCACCTGCTTCGGTTTGGGCACCCGGGCAGTATCACAGCCCTCACACATATCGAATGAGATTTGTGTGGCGCATATGTATTTGGTGCCTCCTTGTACCAATATCTATGTGTTAAAATAAAATAAATAAAATCAGCCCAAAGTTTGGACCAAGATACTAAGTCAGCTTTTTGAGAAGACCAAGAATGTGTTTAAAACAGAAATAAATGCATTAGAAGATAGACAGGAATCACACAAAACTTAAACTGGAGAATAAAACCCAGCAAACAAGATGATGATTTCAGTGACAGTAAAGAAAGTGAATTAATGCAAGTGGAAACAACAATGGCGTGAGCTAAGCGGTAGAGTAAAAAAGTGAGGATGAAAGTTACCTTGGAATAGGTTTTCAAGTACATCACAAAATCTTTTAAAACTAAAAAAAATCCCTTCATTTTAAACCAATCAAAGAGTAAATACATATTTATGTATCCCAGATTAATTAAGGACTATTAAAAGATTTTGTCTTGGCTAACCAACCAGTACCTTCCTAAATCCTAAGCTTAACTTTGACCACGATAATTTTATTTGAAGGACGGTGAGCAGGAGTGTGCAACATATCTCGGCCACGCCATTTGAAGATCATTCACCATACCTACTTGTTCTCTTTACGCTTTAGAATGCTTTAATACACGCGAGATATTCTGAAAACACTTATAATTTCATGACTTAAACCTTATATCCTTGAATTTAGCAGTTTCTCATATGCGAAAATTGACTAAGTACAATGGTGTGGAGTTTACTAACATTTTTGTAGATACTTGTGTATTTTATTTTAGGTAGTTGGAAGCAGTTGGTTGGAAACCTTAGATCTAGGTGTTAAAAAGTCAGTTATTAGTAATGCTTTCTACGAACCACGAACCTATGTCATCCTATATGACAGGAACACCTTAAGTAAGTTTTAGTAGCCTCCAGTTACTCTCAAGCTACTCATCCTCACCAAAAAACCTGAGTATGAGGTCGAAAAATGTCTCCCACACTCTTAGTGAAGTTAGAAAGAGCACATCTAGCATGAGGAAGGAGATAGAGTAATAGGATCTGATGAAATAACTTAGGAGGTCTCTAAGGGGATTGGTCAAATCTTGGTGGTTAGGATGACCGTGGTATTTTCTAGAGTTTGGAAGCTAAGCGTAACCTCATCTAACTGACCTCAATTGCTGATCGTTTCAGAATTTTTAGAAAAGGAATAGAAGTCTCTTGGGATAACCAGGGATGAATCACCCTGACCCATATAGTATTTAAAATATTAGCCTCAATAATCATCTGAAATTAAGATAGATTATGGACAGTAAACTTAGAGAAACCGAACTAGTTTCAGAACTAGATGTGAATGTACCAGTCAAATATTCAACCCTCGTTGAATTCTGGAAAACAGAAATACCAGTTGTATCCTTCGAAGTTAAGATAGGATTTGATTCTGTCGATCAGGAGATTTCTTAGAATTTTCGTTAAAAAAATGTGCCGGAAAATTGCATGAAATTTGCGAGGGATGCTCTCCAAAACAAAACGTTTGTTTGCTAATTAGGGAGCGCGTCTACTACATAGTATTTGGCTCTGTTTCAAATTATGGCTAGAAAACATGGCTGTGGAAAGTAGAGGACATCTGATATCTTCGAAGCATTGGTAGCATGTGGGGACAACTAAGTGATAAATGCTGAATGTAGTAGGGTACACAGGGAAAACGAAAAGTCGTTTGATGATGTGATACAGATGTATTCATCTTTTTCTCTGTTCTATTCCAAGTTTCAACATTACTTCATACTTTTTATTCAGAGAATTCATTCCTTCTTTTCGGAGAATCCCTTTATTTCCAAGCTTTTTAGAACTACAAATCATACTATTGCCCCATTTATATATTTATTTATTTGAACACATAAATGTTGGAACAAGATGGCACCAAATATATATGCGCCACACAAAACAATGAGGATTAGAAGAGAAAAAAACAATAGCGAACAGATTAGTGCAAGGTAGTGTAATAAAAAAATAATAATAATGGGGGAAACGGAAAGGTACAACCAGAAACAATTCTTTCAGTTGAAGAAGTTATGGTCACCTTTTATGAAGAAAGTAAAAGAAGGTTACAGCAGGATCGCCACTGGCTTCTATTCTGAGCCATATCTGACAAAGTCTCTAGCCACTGCGTTGCACCATCTCTAGGACACCAACCAAGGTGTCGTGAAGGACCAGCACAAGCCAGTCCTATGAGGCTTTCTTTCACACCACGACACCATGTCATACACTGACCACCTCCCCGCCTTTTCCAACCAGTCCCAGTGACGGTAAATATTGCACGACGTGGAATTCTCTGAGACGACATTCGTAGAACATGTCCAAGCCACTGAAGTCGATATTTCAAGATGGTGACACCAATTGAATTATCGTCTCTGCGCCCAAATACACGATGCCATACCTCTGCATTACTAACATGGTGTTGCCACTGGATGTCAGCAATCCTTCGGATACAACGATGATAAAACACAGAGAGTGCTACTAGTCTTGTTAAAGTACTTTGCACTTAGGTGTAAACCACATGCTATACCTACGGACACTAACTGCCGACTGATTAACTGCGGACTGCATAGCTTGGATATCACCGCACAGAAAGACAATATTATCCACACTCTCAAGGTTGAAGAGTCGTTTTCCAGGCAAGAGATTCACACCGCCAATATTTATATCCATCAGAGCTATTTCTAGAACGTTGTCGATAACAAAGTGAGATTGGGCAACCTTGTCTAACCCCGCTGCATGAATGGAACAAAGGAGAAAGGTGGTTGTATGCCCTCACTCTGCCTGAGGAATTTAGAATGTTAATGAGCTTCTCAGGCACCCCCTTCAATAAACAATCTCAGAAAACATTCTTGTCCAACGAATCGAAGGCAGTCCTGATGTCAAGAAACACTACGATTGTTTACCTGTGATAAGTATGACAGTGTTCTAACATTTGGCGGAGGATGAAGATATGAACAATATATCATGCAATTGCAACCAATGCCTATCTATACTTTTCGGTGGAATGGTAGCTAGCCTTAAAACCTAGCTCGGTTTGATATTTAGTTGTAACAGAAGCTGCAACCAATTTCCTGATATTGATCTGTTTAGGGGGATATATTTATCGGCTGCTGAAACGTAAGGTAAGATTAGCGGAAACAAGGGCATGATCAGAGTCCAGAGAGGTACTCCAAAAGGAGCGGCAGTCTTGTACACAACCACGCCAGCGGTAGCTGATCGCGATGTGATCAATCTAAGTCCAGGCTTGAGATGCAGAGGAAGGACGCCAGGTGGTACATCGGCAATGACTGTGCCAGAAGTTAGTGCTAGCCAGAAACAGGTTGTGGTCTGTGCACAGTTGCAGTAGACGGTCCCCGTTTTCTGACCTGCGACCAACAAGTCCCCATCGGCCACCTAAATGACTCTCTTCTGTGCCTAGATGCCCGACCTGAGCATTCAAGTCTCCGACTAGTACTACAATATCTGTCGAATGCACTTTCTGGCGAAGAACAGTTAACTGGTGGTAGGATTCATGCTTGATTGCATCGGGGCTGCGATCTGTCGGATTCTAATCTTGTACTCACCCTGGATGGTGAGCAGATAGAAGTAGTCGAGAAGTTCGTGTATCTGGGTAGCTGCATAAGTGCTGGTGGTGGCGTGAGTGATGAAATCAATGCACGTATACTGAAAGATAGAGTGGCTTATGCCAACCTGGGCCGTCGTTGGTGCCTTTGTGATGTTAGTCTGGCTGTAAAAGGTCGGATCTACAACGCGTCGATGAGAGCAGTTTTGCTCTATGCTTGTGAAACCTGGCCTCTCCGAGTTGAGGATGTTCAACGACTCTGTGTTTTATCATCGTTGTATCCGAAGGATTGCTGACATCCAGTGGCAACACCATGTTAGTAATGCAGAGGTATGGCATCGTGTATTTGGGCGCAGAGACGATAATTCAATTGGTGTCACCATCTTGAAATATCGACTTCAGTGGCTTGGACATGTTCTACGAATGTCGTCTCAGAGAATTCCACGTCGTGCAATATTTACCGTCACTGGGACTGGTTGGAAAAGGCGGGGAGGTGGTCAGTGTATGACATGGTGTCGTGGTGTGAAAGAAAGCCTCATAGGACTGGCTTGTGCTGGTCCTTCACGACACCTTGGTTGGTGTCCTAGAGATGGTGCAACGCAGTGGCTAGAGACTTTGTCAGATATGGCTCAGAATAGAAGCCAGTGGCGATCCTGCTGTAACCTTCTTTTACTTTCTTTATAAAAAATATGCGTAACTTTTTTAAATGAAATTCTTTCTGGTCATACCTTTGCTAAGTGAACTGCTTCTCTTATTATTATTGTTATTATTATTTCACCATCATACACTTATTTCTATTTGTTATTGTTCCCCTGTTTTTGTACGCACCTTACATCATCTTTTCCCATTCCCATTATTATTGTTTGGAGCATATGTATCCGATGCCTCCATGTACTAATATTTATGTGTTCAAATAAATAAAGTTGAGGATTCTGCCTTTCAAAAAAAACATCTGACGATGGACTAAAAACAAAAACCGGCCTATTTCTGGAATTTTTTCCCCCATGTTTTTGAAAATCTATGAACTACAAAGTGATATCATTCCTACAACCATTAATCTTTACATAGTTTATTGAGATTATATTTAAAGGTTTGACAAGCGTACTGTGAGATGATAAAGGATGTAATTTTTGCAACCTATGAATATGATCTGGTTTAAGAATACCGATAACATTACAAATTATGGACGAAACATCAAGCTATTAGTTCAACTTCGAATTCTTCAATTACCAAGCCTACACTAATTCACAATAATGCAAAAGCTCATAGATGATAACTCATCATACTGGTTTTCAGGTGAGTTGATTGAAATTTTACAAGTTGATAAAAGACAAGAGTTTGTGAAAAAATCATAGACGTCTTATACTAGGATGATTTTTTGAAGTTTGAAGCCGCTTTGTAACTATGTATCAGTAGGAAACACGTTACCTTTTGCTAATACTCATTAGTGAATTACAGTTTTGAATATAACGCCTGTATGTAACTTTGATATCAGAAGAGCACATGATAATATTAACCTACTTAAATTACGTTCTGTGAAAAAATAAGTTTTAGGGTATTTTTTACAGGCTTTAGATGAATCAAAACCACATCGTCAATGAATTTGGTAGGATTCCGGTATACAATATTGCTACTGGTTGAAGCTTTATTAAGATCACAAGTCAATCTAAGTTGAAAAACCATTTAATACCAGGTTATAGTACATAATAGTGCTCGAGCTTGGGTGTTGGTGAAAAAATATTGAAAAACGTTGATCCGTGATATGTTGCGGTATACTTAAGTGTAGAAGCTGAAGGCACGGGGACAATCAATGTGATAACGGACATATTCACAGCTTTTAACTGAAAGGTACTGAGACAACATAAATAATAAATTTGGATTATCTTGACTACAATCCATTTATGAAAAACTGAAGAAACAGGAAGCCAATAAGCACATATCAACAGTTTCTGTATTATACAGGTGCCTTAGATTAGAATTTATTACTGATATAGGTACATGTGACAGAAATATGGAGAACGGGATTAACCGACACGTTACTAACCTAGTATATATTCACCTGCACAAAATGGAGCAACGAAAAAACATTCTATGTTAGATCTTACCGAAGAACTCTTCTGAAAATTAGATTTAAGCTACCTCCCATAAAATCTGCGTGCTATTGAGGCAAAACAGAGTGATATCACTCTATTTGTAAGTCGGTTAGACTAATTTATGAACGACCTTTGAGAGATGCTAAAATAACCTTGGGAGTGACTATCTAGTTACTAGGGCTAAATGTAGTTTATAAAGCAGTTTGAAGTGTAAGAATCACGATTCAGTTGATGGCTAAGGTTAAAAATTAGACTTAGGGTTTTCATCACAAACTGACATCAGCTATAATGCCAAAACTATATTTATCCAAATGAATAAGTGGACATCCGAGACCTGTTGTCTTATACATGAGTAGTTCGTCCATAAATAATAGTCTCACCGTATTTACATTTAAATTTTGTACCTCTCTTCTTCATGGTCCATGATTCAACGACCTCTTAGACTAATAATAACTTTGAGTGTAAGGTGGATCCAATATCTGTACACGGCTAGTCCTAGAGATCCGATGAGTCACAAAAAGCTCCTAGCCTACTGAAAACAACTATGGGTGCTAGATTTAAGGACAAATAATCCTACTCACAAACGTAGAATACGCAGACTTCCAGTAAAATCGTGAGTAGATAGGACTTTTTGGGCGTTGATGATATCAAAACTCACGATTTATGCATACTTAAAATCGAAACCTGTGAGAGAAAAGGTATAAAGTCTGACTATGCTTAATGAGGCTTACTTATTCTATCTAAAGAAGAAAACAAACTAGCAAATTAGTGACCTAGTCACCTACCAAGTTATTCCGCTGCAATCGATGCTAGGACATATATTTCGTTTCTGATGATTTAAAACAAGCAAAAAAAGCTAATTAGCAATGAGATTGGCCAGTAAAAGTAACAAAAACTGCTAAATTTTTATCATTGAATAGGATATAAATATTTAATTCATATTAACTTACACAAAGCCGGTGCTGAATTTGGAACTGTGGAAAAGAAAGTGTCCCTGGATGATCCTTAATGGTTCTACATGCAACTTAACAGACTTTCAGTGAATTATCCACGTGTGTTCTATTGATTAATCAAAATTACTTCACATATGAATGTTAATAAAGAATAAATAAAATTACTAAAATAGTTCAAGATCTAATATATTAAATTCTCGACGCATTTTTATGTATTCGTTGATGGGTCTTTGTGTAGGCTATTTAATCTACCTCATAGGGGTGCTAGTTTAAAGTACTAATCACTCTCAGGTCGAAATTATGAATACATATAATGTAAATAGTGGTAAAAAGCCCTGCTGATGATTCCTAATGACCCAACATTAAGACAAAGTTAACTCAAAGTCGAGTTACTAAGGCTGGTAGCAATATAACGATACTGTCTGTAGAATTTAGTCAAACGGAGGAATAAATAAAGATGAACCCTGTTGTTGCACTGGAAACCTGTCAAATCATCCGTCAAGCTGAACCCTTTCTAAATGGAAAGGTAGACTACTGAACAATAAAATGAATATGTTTAATAGTAGATCCGGCCTTACATCACCTCAAGTCTCCGATTTCTGTCTGGTCGGCCGTAGTTGGTTTGCATTACGCAGCCATATTTTCTCGAACTTCTACTTTGTAAATGACCTTTTATTTTCCACTGATGGATGTTCCAATCTTCCGGGTTGGCTTCACTTCAATCTTCAGTAATGAGGATCTTAGGTTGGTGTACCTGTGTCAAACATAACAGTTTGCCTTCCAATAAGTGTCCAGCTACTCCTAGAAAATGTTCACCGATGGTACTGCAACCACTTGTTCGGGTAAGGCGTTCCAGTCATTGACCGCTCGATGAGAAAAACGGAACACCACTTTAAGTTTAATAGATTGTAGTTTGTGAACCCTCTTGCTATAACCTCGGAGATTATTGATGCTGGAGGGAGCAAAAAGATAAGACATACTAACATTCTTATCATAATTAAAGATATCAAGTTCCAATATAAGGTCGCCTCGCGTCCTACTATACGATGAAGGGAAAAGGTTTAGGCGCTCTAGACGCTCGTCGCAAGGGAGTACATAAACACCATTCACTAATTTTGTATCCCACACTCTGAACACTCTCAAGTGAGTTTGTATCCTTAATTAGACATGAGCCAATTGTTTGGATACATTACACAAAGTGTGGTCGTACATATGTGGTATATAAAATTCTAAACATCTCGTCAAAGCATTTGGATGTTCGGCGAAAAGGCCATAGTGCACGAAACCCTTTAGCAACAGCTGCGTTGCGATGCGTAGTTGTTTTTAATTCGTGTCTTATTATCACTCCTAAGTCTTTATGTTACTGAACGAATGGAAGTGATGTACCATCGATAATATGCTGCTAACTATTACCGTTTCCGATATGCATGAGCGCACAGAAATAACTTCTAAGCCCCAACCTCGAACCCATATAATCAATTAGTCTAGGTTGGCTTGGAGATCAGAATTATCAGCCCCAGTTCTTATTGGTCTCCAGATCTTAACCCCATCTGCAAGCAATAACGTCAACGACCTAAGCAAAGGCGGTCATTCATTGAGGTAGGGAGGGAAAAGTAGGGGACCTAAGATGGTGCCTTGGGATACATCACTCTTTCTACCAACGTTTACCGCACACTGAACTCTCTGGGCAATGCGCCATACCGCCGATTGCAAAGGTTGATTCTAGGTCTTTGTTTCATCTGTTATACTGGTACTCTAATTTTCCCTCAAAATATCGCTTCTGCCTGACCTTCATGATAGATTGTTGACGGGTTTGACGCTGTGTGGTAGTTTAGTAAAAATCTTCGAATGACACCACTTATTTCTCCTCCCTTAGCTTTAAGTACTGCTCTCGTAAAAGTGTCCGCGAACCTCTCGACTAACATTGTCGAAGCAAAACTTCTCAAATTCCACTGAGGTAAGTTGAGGTTCATTATCCAAAGTCAATACATCGGGACACCGAATCAGCTGGATACCTATCTTGATTTTTCCACAGTACATTTTGTCGATACAAATTTCATGTAATGAACTTCTGGCCACTTGGAGAAAGAATCAACAGTTACCAAGACCTGTTCCCCATTTATGTGACCGGCAAAATTCACGTACATTTTCGACCATGACCTTGTAGTTGCTCCCTAACTCTGAATTTCCGTTTATCGAGGGGCACTAGTGGATTTCGCACATGCAGAATATCTCACGGCATACTCTTCGAACTGATAATCAATATTCGGCCAGTAGACATAGCTTAGTGCAAGTATTTTAATCCGTGCTACCCTTGAGTATGCGACATGAAGTTCTAAAATCTTAGGCATAACTACCCGATCTCCAAACATCAGGCATTCACTCACGGGCGATTGAAGTTCCTGTCGGCGAGCATACTGTTCAATGATTTGTTGTCTATTTGAGCGGGCAAACTATGACATGTGTAATTAACAATCTGTTCAGCTCGTCGTTTACTTGTGTACAGTACTTAAAGGTCTCCAGAGGATAGTGGTGTTATATCAACTTTTATTATCTAGTTAATATCCTCCTCCAATGATAGCGTTGAAATAATAGCATCTTCACTTTCTTGCTTCTGATTCGTAATTAGTCGAGATAAAGCATCAGCTAGTCCAAACATTTTTGTTGATTTATACAAGATTTGGATGTCATAAGCAAGTAATGTAAATGTCCAGCGTTGTATTCAATCTGCCTTATATGCCAAAATACCCGACGTCGATCCAAATATAGATATGAGCGGCTTGTGACCCGTTAGAGGAGTAAATCGACGATCATAAACCATTTCATGAAATTTATTTACCGCAAAAACTAAAGCTAGCCATTTTTCAATTTGACTGTACTTTTGTTGAGCAGGGTTGAGATTTCGGAATACATGAGTGATTGGCTCTTATTTACCATCTGGAGAACTATGACTGGTAACAGCTCCAATTCCATAGTTGGAAGTATCAGCAGCCAAAATTATTTCAAGCTCAGGATTGTAATGAGTCAGCAATAGTTTAAAAGATAAAATCCTTTTCATTTCACTAAACGAATTTTGACATTACTTCGTCCAGTGCCATGACACATTAGCTATCATAAATTGGCTTAACAAATTTCTCACTCTATACATGCAGAATATAAACATACTATAGCACCTAATGGTCCCCCAAAGCAAACTCAGCGTTGTAACACCAGTCTGCCTGGGCATATTTGTGATAGTAGTTATATTATCTGGATCTGGTCGATGACCGTCCTAATCAAATATATATCTTGGGTATCTAACGGACTCGAGTAGGTTTATGGACGTTTATTGTAAGTGAAAACGTGCTTGCGATATTTTAGTAAGCACAACGTCTAACCAACCATTAGTTCCTGAGCAGAAGTAACAACTATAATGTCGTCCAAAAACTGCTACGCCTCCAGGGTTAGAAATAATAGTATCCATTATCCGCTGAAAAATTTCTGGAGCTGGCTTTACGCCGAACAGCAGTCGGGTATATTGATAGGGTCCACGGTGGGTAAGAATGGCTAGGAACTCCTTTGAATCTCTTTTGATCTCCAAATGTGAGTAGGTTTCACATAAATCAATTTAGCAAGATGACGTCCACCGTTTAATCTAACAGATAAATCCTCTGCCAAAGGTAGTGGATATGAATGATTTTGCAAAGCATTATTTGATCCTGTTGAAAAATCAGCAAAAAGACAAATCGTCCTTTTCGGTTTCTGCTTTCCATGCCGAACAGTTACTAGGTTGGGTAACATTGAACTTCTCTAATCGGTTCAATTCTTTGTCAACTTCGTCATCTTTGACGTTTCGGGCGAGAAACAGATTTTGAATCTTTTCTTGAGTACAATTTTTCCATCCCGATTGTGCAGCATCCTAACTTGTTCAGGAACGATTTTGTATGCTTCCTCAAAAGGTCTTCTGTCATTATGGCTCTCTTTGTTACACGAACTTTGGGAAGATCTGTGGGACTGTTTAAACTTTACATCGATCATATTTCGCTCAACGGAATATCCCACAGGTTAGTGTGCTGTCTAATCCGAATCATGTCTGTTCGTCGAAGAAAAGGTTCCTGTGGGGTAGCTTTTTTGGAATTCAACAAAGTATTTTGTCATCCCAACAAGCCTTAACATGTCTCTGGAGGCCCTCTGAGCTCTGTGTTTAGTTGGCGATACTTGTAGACAGCCAGATTGAATTCCATGTTCGCTTAGATGTTAACATGCTATCTGTTGCTGTGCCCGATTGTATTCGAATTTGAACACGATCAATTAATAATTGCACATACCTTCTTTTACTCGCTATGCTTAATGCCAGTATGACACATACGGCTTAGATTCTTGTTTTGATACTGGTGAAGACGTTTCAACGGCTTTGATATAAAACTTTGGCTAGTTTGGAATGCTGCCTTATGTTAACCAACTTTATTGCGTATGGTACATCTATGATTTCTAAACCGGCAAATTATTGAGAAATACCATGCACCACAATATCGACATTAAGTGGAAAATTTGAAAATATTTGAGTTATATGTATAACTCCTGATTTTATTTTGTCGTCGACCTGTCTTAATAGCAAAAAGAGTGGCTAGACAGCATCATAATTTTGGTTTTCTGAGTAGCTGTATCCTGTTTCAGTTTTATCAATCACTGAACTTCAACAGTAACAGTCTTCAGAGTCAGCATCGACGGAAGAGTTCAGACTGAAAATGAACGATAAAGATTTAAAATGATCTCTGGATAATACATTTAATGTAAATAATTCCGCTTGTAAATTTACTCTATCAGAGTACGGAGTGTGGTCTTTATCAGCTTCCGTAGTCAACAGTAGAAAGTT